GTGAAGTTATCATTGGCTGGGAATCCTGTATATTTAAAAACGCCTACCGTCTGGACATGGGTAAACTGGTCGCGGAAGCATTCGTTTAGCATCTACAGCTGAAAATCGGGTACTTTCGTGACTAGCTGTCGTTTTGACGTGTAACTGAAGCAAGGACGCAACCAGAGGTAGTCGTTGCCACACCAACACGCCCCATGTGCTGTTCTCTTCAGCTACCGACACACCCTCGAGCAGACAGTCAATGTGTAGAAGATGACACGTTAGGAACGTCTCAAACGAGCGATCGAAAGCCTACTTAGTGCACCTCCGGTTGACAGACATGAGCACCCACAACAAGCTCAGTACGAGAGAAAATGCGTAACCCCTAACAGGAGTTCGATTCGGGTAACCATCATTTCATCTGAGCGGGTATCTTTGCGGACTTTTATCGAAGTACGGCGGAAGCACACAAACTGCAACTTCTGCGCACCCCAACTCGACATTGACCTGTCTATCTCAAGGTGGATGCCAGTCCGTTGAGGGATGCCAGGGTGGTTGCGAATAATACGCCCCGGCAGCGGCGGAAAGCACCCAATGATCTGCAACCGCTCCCAATCAATTCCCCCCCCCCCTTCAGGATCAGAAGCCGGGGCTATTTCGGACGTACAACGAGAGCGTTGCTGCCAGCAAACGAAGCATGGGAGCTGGTCTGAGGCACCTGTACAGGTGTGCGCCGCATCAGTTCTGAGGACCGCATGAGTCCAACTTCAGACTCGTGGAGGACTTGGTTAGTCGGCTGGCTTCACCTGACGCGACGCAGGCGCGCGGCTAGCTCAAGCAGTTGTGACCCAGGGAGATTTAGTGCAACACGTGCCTAACGTCCGGCAGCTGGCTGCAGGCAAAGCGGCGGGACGGCCACGTTTTTCCGATTCCAAACTGCTTGAATTAGATTTGGTATACGGTGGCTCTGCCTCCAAAATGGGCGGTAGGTGTGGGAAACCAACACAGGGGATGGATCGGGCTCCGACAGACGTTCTCAGGAATGCGCACTTTTAATAAATGCCAATATTGGGTGCAAACCCACGGCGCGCCAGTTGGGATCCGATTCGCCACTCCTCCCCCCACCCCATATGTGTAAAATCAGTATAATTTGCGCACAAGCGGGCGTGGTGGAACGTCTTGGTGCGGATCTTCGCCATGCCAGCTACCTGCACCCTCTCCTACCTCCGGTCTCCTCGACTCTATCTTGACACGGGGTCCAGGTAGGGAAGAGGAAAGGCTGTGGTAAATGTAACGTAAGTCTACCATCACTATAAACAAATTCGCGCACAAATCATCGTCTCTGCTCTCCCCCTGTAGTGAAAAACACGGTGTACATCGTCAGCAACGGCGGTCGGACTGTTGATAACCAACAGCTGATGTAGCGTTAGTCACGTAGGTGGGCTAACTCATGAAATGTCAACTGAAATTCGGAACTGCGTTTTAGTTTCGAAAAGATTAGTTAAGTAGGGTTGTAAAACTAATCAGTCTGCAACATAATTCTATAATAACTCAGCTACCTTATTATGCCGGCGTTATAATGAACTTATCTCCGGTTGCATGCAAAAACTTTACTCTGTAAAAAAATGACTACTTAAGTAGCATGCATTTTTCTCATTGATTTTCGATGCCCCTAAAAGTCCGATTATAATTCATGGAAAACATGCACAAAAATACTCATTATTTATCTCACTCAGTAGAAACTTACGTCTTCTTTCAACTTTATACCCAAAGGAAAGTCACAATCCGGTTTCAAAAAGATTTCTAATTGTAAGACTTTAATACCGTGAAATGGGAGTTCATAAAACGTCATGTCTCTGCATTTACCAATGTGGCCTGTAAAGTTAACAATATGGATCAAATCCAGTGTTAAATTCAATAAATCCCAAATGGCCTTCTCTTAATATCGTAGAGAAATGTGTGGTTTTCCATACGTGGAAAATACATGGCTTGTAGTTTGGAAACCCTCAATGGAAGTGTTAGGGCAGAGCGGGTTTAAAATTATTCGGGAATGGGAAAAAGTTTCTGAAAACCGAATTCATCCCTTTCTTCAAGTATAAAATTGGAAAAACACGTAATTTGCTACCTAAAGAGTGAAAGCATGACTTTTTATGCATGTTTTCCATGAAATATAATTGCACTTTTTGAGGCATCGAAAATCAATGGAAAAAATGCATGCTACATAAGTAGTCATTTTTTACAGAGAATAGTTTTCGCATGCAGCAGGAAGGAAGTTGGTTCAAAAGCCGGTATCCTGAGGTAGTTGAAATATTATATAATTATGTCGCAGGCTGACTACTTTTACAACCCTAATTAATTAATCTTTTCGAAACTAAAACACATTTCGGAATTTCGGTTGACATTTCATGAGTTAGCACACCTAATGTGTCATTGTAAACGAATTCGCACACAAATCATCGTCTCTGCTCTCCCCCTGTAGTGGAGAACACGGTGTACATCGTCGGCAAAGGCGGTCAGACTGTTGCTAACCAACAGCTGACGTCCAACAAATAACTGCGTTGTCATGCGAGTCTCCAGCCTTCGGTGGCGGACGATAAACCCAGCTGTCAGAAGTGATAAGTAGTGAATATTTAGGTCACCAATATTTTGTGATCTCAGCGGCATTTGTGGTTGGGCTTGTGCACTTGTAACTTGTCAGGAATAACCCTGCTCTGGTTTGAATCCAAAACGCAATCAGTCGACAGGGTACTATCAATAAATATGCTCTGTCGCCCACATGATATAGTGGGGTTGTAGTACGATCTTCATTATTAATACAAAACCCATTACGAGTAAAGTAACTGCCTTTTCCGCGTTATTCACCGGCTTCTAAGGGCTCCCGCGACCGCACCGAGGCTTTTGTCGTCCGACTTATCATCAGTGAATTGACAGGCCTCGTACGCTAAACTGGTAGATTGGCTGGCTAATGGACCATACACACTTTTAGTTGGATATGCAGGAATATTATGGGAGGGGCCGTATTCGCGTTCCTTCAATTTATTACGCTCAAGGTGTCGTATAACGGGTTACTCAACAGACTAAGCATCTCATGGTTCCTACGGCAGCTTGAAAGATATGGTTGGTCACTGATTGCTGCTCTGCACTGAGATAGGGCGGTTGGAGACGTCGAATATGTCACTCGTTAATACAGTTTTGTCGTTGTGCAATCACGATAACGGTTCCAATTGGTTAATCGTCAAAACCGCACGTTCCCCCTTTACCTGGACATCAAGAGTCGTTCGAAACAGCGGCTGATTTCCGGTTAACTCCGCCGATTTTTCAAAGTATCTACACAAATACATTCGGTTGCGGGCAAAATCCTCCAAGCCTATCATGCTACTGACGCACTAGACGGAAACATGGATTAAAAGGATTCGTAGCATACATTAAAAGGGTCTGGTTAAGTCTGCATACGCGCGTGCTCCACGCCTAAGAGCGAGACTCACGCAATATCAGCAGTTGAGCACAATCTCACCGACGGTCGACTACAGGGCAGACAAAGTCGATTCTGGGCTAGGCTTTACTATAACAAGTTTGAAGGGTTTTAAACCATTCCAACTCATCAGAACGCGTGGCCCGGCACCCGGGTGCCAACGGTAGGGTGAAGGACCCAAATTAGCTCTCGGCATATTGCGGATCACGTGCCGATGTATGTCCTTGCAAAATCTTGAAAATAGGTCATTTTGGTATGATTACTTATCGTGGAAATGAAAGAAGCCTATCAAAAAAATAACCCCAGAGAGAAACAAAGAAAACAATTGGCATCGAGACAAGTCTGACTGATGAAGTTGCTCATGACAAGAAGAGAATAAACGTTATCCAATGTGTAACAGAAAGGGCTGCAAGGGATCAAATAACAGCGTCCAGTGTACGAAAAATGGAAAACTAATAAAAAAAACTAGCAAAATAACAAAAAGTTAGTTGAATTCAAGATGGAAGGAGGGCAGACTGGGTGGACCATACCGGGGACTCTACTTGGGACCCATCGGATTGAGGAATTTTCGCATCTTGTTGGGACCAGGCCAAATTCCTCTACAAGCATTAGAAGAAAATTTTTACGGAAAGTAAAAAACATGTTGGACGATAAGTTGGAAGTACGCCTGTGCAGACTCTACAGTAGGAAGCAGTTCAACCCTGCGCCTCACGGAGTGAACTTGTGTGTGAATTACTCCAGACTTGCACAGCATCTATCTCACTATCAACTTCCTTACCCGTCAAACTAGAAGGGGAGAACAATGTCGTGACTATTAAATTGGGTAAGGGTGTGTAGTGGCTGGCACATTTAAACGATTTGTCAACGCGCGCCACACACGATCCAGGCTCCAGAACACGCGCTAGAATTTCGAGGGGACGGTTCGGGGAGCACATCAGTGAGGGAGGAATCATTGCAGCCTAACTCCCGGTTCTCCCCAGTTACTTCAAAATACTCTCACGAGGACAAAATTATCTCGTCAGTTAGAAACCCTCTGCGCCGCGGCTGTTGTGACAGACCCGAGCGCTTAATGTATTATTAATGAGGGATGTGCTGAGTGTACATGGGAGTGTCGGTCTCACTCCCTCTTCTCTCGCCTGTGCACACCAGTGATCGTTCGAGGCTGTCAGTCATCCGGCGCTAGGATTGGCGCAGTGGCTGACGGAGCTAAACAATTCGTCTAGGAGTGCCACGCGCGGCCTGATCCCCGTAACATGTGTCAGGCTTTCAGGTTTGCACCCATGTACGCGTACTTTTCGTCTTTATCAATCCACCATGGTGGAATTTTGCCTTTCGATTGTCACTGCGTGATCGATCTCATTAAATATTGGCCGACATTCTGACATGCGTTCTCGACTAAGAAGGATTAATAAGGTGGCGTTGTAAGATTAGTTATTATGTTGCATAATCCTGTAGTACTTCGGACTCGCCAGGATGTTCCTTTTTGAATGCACTTCTTTCTGACTTCATGCAGAAGCCACAATTGGAAAAAATGACTACTTAAGTAGCATGAATTTTTGAACATTGATTTTGGATGGTCTAATAAACTCAGATATATTTTATAGAAAACATATACAAAATAAACTTCCTTTTACTCCTTTGGTAGAAAAACACATTGATTTTATACTTTGCACCCTAAGGAAGGTTATATTTGGGTCTTAGAAAAGTTTCTAATTATGAGGTTCTTAAAATCGTGCGATGTCCATATGTACAGAATCGCACGTGTCCGTTTACCAATGTTCCTCGTAAAGTGTAAAACACAGCCCGTATCCATTGCAAAATTTTATGAACGCTTAACAGTATCCTTCTAAAGACATTAGAGGAATATATGATTTTCCTTACGCGGAACTCCGGCAACTTGTAGACTGAAATCGCTAAACGCTGATCAGGCTCAAAATTATTCGGGAATCAGGAACCTTTTTCGAAACCTAAATATACATTTTTTCCAGGTATAAAATGTGAAGACAATAAGGTTTTCTACGAAACGAGTAGAAAAAGCGTATTTTTGTATATGTTTTCTGCAAAAGGTATTTGAATTTATTAGACCATCCAAAACCAATATGCAAAAATGTATGCTACTTAAGTAGTCATTTTTTCCAAGTGCGGATTCTGCAGGGAGTCAGGAAGAAGTGCATTCAAAATCGAACATCCTGGCGAGTCTGAAATACTACAGGATTATGCAACATAATAACTAATCGTACAACGCCAACTTATTAATCTTTCCTATTCGAGAACGCATGTCAGAATTTCGGCCAACATTTCATGAGATCGGTCACGCACTGTAATTTCCAACTTGGGGCCTACGAGTATACCGGCGAGCGAGTCAGTTAGAAGCAGGTGTCACGTGCATATGCGTTAGGAATGACTTAAGGAAGTCATCGGTCAATGTCTCATAAAGCCTTTCGCAAAACTATACCGCACTAAAAAGAGCCTGGAAAGTGTTGGCCTCTTATAGGTTATTCGTGAATGACGCTTATCGGTCTTGCTTTCACCGACTAACGTAAGCGTTGGGTGTGAATCGCTGGCGATAGCAAAAGGTCTGGAGCACTGAAAGGCACGTCTATATGCCAACACCTGCGAGGGCAGAGCAGGTGAACACCACACCCATGTGACCGAATATTTCCCATCAGAGTCAGCAGATTGTGATTTCGCCGTTCAGCCGGAAGGAGATTCAGCCCAGTGATCAACCGAACGTCGGCTAAATCTCAAGGCGTAATAGTCTGAGACGGCCTACACCCGGTTTATGGGAGATAAAACATGCGTAAAACGGATGGGTAACTTTTTGTGTGCTAGGCATCTTCCTTAACTCCACCTCTGTCGTAGGATTGGCCTCCAACACCAAAGTGACACATTGACAATGCCGCACTTTGGGGCTACGTGATTTACCTTAAAAGACCATCCCAGTAGAGAGGGGGGAGGATGAACCTCTTGATGTAGCCGAATATCCAGCGCTCCGTTGCCTGATTAAAAGGCAGCGTTTCCCTGGGCTTCAAATCATAGTCGAACTCGGCAAGGATGCCTTTGGTTTTCCCAGTGATCAGCGGGCACGATGTGTATCCATCATACTAGGCAAAGAGAAGAGAGGTAATTCTCACGGATCAGTAGATCGCAGTCTTTACTGTCAAATCCAACAGTGATGCACTCACCTGTGCCACCTTCCCGGCGCCTCCGTTCATGACATCGAGCAGGTTATCCACAAGAACTGGGGTCTCAGAAGCTGAGCAGAGCAGGGGAAAGGTGTCATTTAGTTAGAGATGGCGCCTCTAGTGGAAATGAAGGGCCCTAATTAGTACTCACCGATGGCTGCTGCTGTCTTCGAGGTTGGCAGGTTTGAACAGTCGCCGAGGGAGAAGATGTTGGGAAACTTGATATGCCTCAAGGTGGTTCTATCGACGCTTACATAACCCGGTGCAGCGCTTTCTGACAGACCGGGCGTCTTTGTAAGCACTTCCGGCGGCGTCATCGGAGGAACAATGTGCAAGAGGTCATACTGGAGATGTGAAGGGAAAAGACACGGAAAAAAGTGCGAAAAGGGGTCATTTTGGTAAAATCAAACGAAGCGAGTGGGGAATCTTGGCGACAGGGATAATTTGATGGGGTGCCTAAAAGGTACAGTAGCTGGCCCATCTCACGAAATTTCAACCGAGGTTCTGACATCTGTTTCCAATTACTTAGATGAGGTTGTGGCATGATTTCAAGATATTTCAGTTACGCTAGGCTGCTGGCTTTTGAGTGAGCTTATTACCGGTAGCCTGCAAAAATCCCATTCGCCAAAAATTACTACTTAAGTAGTATGCTTCTCCCATTCATTTTCTACGCACTTTGAAACTCAAGGATATTTTATAGAAGACATGAACAATGATATTCATTCTTGTATTCAGCTGGCAGCAAATTGCACCTTTTTCCAATTTCATACTTGAAGAAAGGGCATCTTTTGGTTTTAAGACAGTTTGGCTGCCGGCATCTACAAGACCAGCCTGGTTAGCTATTTAGACTTTCCGTCGAATTGATTAGTTGCAAACTAAAAGTAGCAGCGGGCTGTATGGGTGCTTGTTTAAAGGTTGCTCACGCATTATATTACAAGTGTCTACCAATGGTAGGGGGCGCTCACCGATCGTTCATACCGAACTCACTCGTTCCGTTGTGCCTTAAGGGCTCTCTCTCGAGCCCAACCAGCAGCCGCACAGCGGCGCATGATATATAGGCAGAATGATATTACCGACAAAGACAAGGGAGACTGGAATGGCCATTTCTGGCTTATTAGCCGTCGTCAGCCAGCCATACCCAAGCCCGAAGTGTGGAACACCCGAGCCTCGACAACAGGGCAACGGGCTCGTGGCCCAGTGTGTAGAGGCGTTGACTTCTAAACCAACAGGTCGCGAGTTCGAGGCTCGGGTGTTCCACACTTCGGGCTTGGGCATGGTTGGCTGACGACGGCTAATAAGCCAGAAATGGCCATTCCAGTCTCCCTTGTCTTTGTCGATAGTACCCTTCTGCCTTTTAAAACAGTTTGTCATCAGGAGATTCCTCAAGACCGTGGAATACCCTATCTGTCCGTTTAGTAATGTTGTTCACGGTTCACGATATGGTCCACATCCATTGTAAGGTTTCGCCAGCCCCATATGACGCCTTCTTAATAGCATATGGAAATGTATGATTCTCCTTCCGCTGGAAGTATACAGCATGTAGTATGGAAGCCCTCAGCGGTGGTGAAACTGTAGCTTGGGCATTGAAAAATCATTTCTAAAACAGCTAGATACACTTTCTTCGGGTGGAAAAATCAAAAAGAGCCAGTTTGCTACCAACTGAGTACAAGAATGGGTATTTTTCTCCAAATGAGTACAAGAATGAGTATTTTTCCCCATGAAATATGTTTGAATTAATAACGACATCGAAAATCCCTGGGAGAATTCATACCACACAAGTAGTCATATTTTTATCGAGCGTAAGTTTTAAAAGCGGCGGGGAAGAAGTCCATTCGAAAAACGGCATCCTAACGTGACCAAAACATCTCGGGATTATGTTACACATTGATCAATATTACCACCCAACCTAAGTAATCCTTTCTAACCAAAAAAACATATTTCAACATTTCGGCTAGCATTTCTTCAGATAAACCAGCTACTGTAAGTTTAAAAACTAAAAGATGACTTTTCTGACGATTCGTTGAGCTCCGCGAAAACGTAGCTCAAGTCTGCCCGTTAATAAGCAGGAATAGTCGGCAGGCTGACCGATTTCAAACAGGCAGGCAGCATTGACCTGTGAACTCCGGGGTGTCTTACACGTCGCAAGTGGTACTTAAAATTCATCACAGTCGGCTGAAGCGGAATGAGAGAGCACCCGAACGCAGCAGGAGAAACAAGTCAAGTGCAGGGATTGGTAATTCAAATATGCCTCCTACTCCTGCTGCAGAGACCTTGGTGAAAATCGCTAATCATGCGGTCGGTCTGCGTCCTCCAACCCGCGTGCATAACAGGGTTAGAGAGGGGCGGTGAGTGCTCAAAATTTTTGTTGGTGGATTCTTCTGGCGTGTTTTGATCTGACTGCCATGGCGGCAGCAACGCTACAGGTGTGTGTGGTTGGTCTAGCCGCCTAGAAGTCAGTAGATACAAAAAGTCTCCCAGTCAGACAAAGTTCACACGTTTTCATTTTCATATTTTACCCAGACTGACAGGTATACTTGCATGGGCAGTCACCACACAGAATGTGACAGGTGACTACAGGCTGGGCGTCCCATTGACGCCGCCTATCGACAGTTGGGTAACGGTCGATGTGCCTCAGGACTTCGGAGACGGCTCGGATGAGTAAGAGGACTTAAGGATCCCGTCTCATCAGCTCTATCAGTTGCGTCGACTTCCCCGCCCCTCACATAATCGCAAGCGGAACGACCGAAAAGCGTGCATTGGTTAATGTCCCCCCGAGTCACTGCCACCAATGACAGGATTTGAAGCAGGTTTAACCGGCCGGCCTGCACAGGCAAACCTGTAGTAACCTTTGCTCGTAAGTCAACCAAATAAGCGCCACAATGGACTTTTGTCAAAGGGGCCTACTTATGTGGTATGAATTCTCCCGAGGGATTATTGGTGCCCTTATAAATTCAAGCATATTTCACGGGAAGCGTGTGCAAAAATACTCCTTCTTGTACTCATTTGGTAGCAAACTGGGCCGTGTTTGAATTTTCTACCCGAAGAAAGTGTATCTATCGGTTTTGGAAAAGCTTTTTCAGTGCCAGATTAATTTTGAACCCGAGCTGAAGTTCCATTAGCGGCGAGGGTTTCCATACTACATGCTGTATACTTCCCGCCTCTCTCATTGACGAACGACGTTGACAGTTGGGCCATGGTCGATGTGCCTCAGAGCTTCGGAGATGGCTCGGACGAGTGCGGACTTAAAGGCCCCATCTCATGTGTGCTATCAGTGATGATGAGGGGCCTCGACTTCCCCGCCCCGCACATAATCGCAAGCGGAGCCTATAAATGGTGTAGAAAAAAATTAACAAAATGCATAATTTAAATTAATTACAAGCCCCCTTACTTTGAGCAAGTTTCGTCTACCACGAAAGATTAGCACTAGTCGAAGTAAACGATGGAAGGAATAGAATACCAGAAAGCACGCGCAACATGAGGAGTGAGCTCAAATGTTAGCAAAGGCATTGTCCACTTGCCTTGACAGTTGACGTTTCTTTTGTATCGACATTCTCAACAACAACCTGACTGTTCTTGTGATCCACCTACAGAGAAAACATAAACACTATCGGTAGCAATCGCATGTTAATGTTGCGGACTATCGGGAGTACCGACAATGTTAGGGTGCCCGGGCTAGCCAACTTGTAACATGAGTGGCAAAATGAACATTCCAAGTAGCCACTTGATTGACGCTGTAACACAGATTGGCACTCAGCATAATCTCAGGGAAAACCACACACACTAGGGTGCTAGTCATTGAGTACGTATCATCCAAAATACCTGCGGAAATAATCCGTTTTGAAATGTAACTACTCAAGTAGCATGCATCTGTCTCCGCTGATTTTTTATACCTAAAACTCGTTAGCTCAAAAATGACATAATTTTCTAAGGCTGCACTAAATTGTGTCTCTTGTAGACTAGTTACTTATGTGAAGGAGAATTCCAGTTTGTAATTCTGAACGGTTTTCAGGCATTGATACATTGCGCGCAGCCTAACAACCGCGCCTTTGTTATACAGCCCCTGGAGTTTGATTCAATCCTATTATAAGCACCGGGCGGTTCCTTCACAATGACGCAAACAATTGTAATTGAGGTAAAAGAATGCAGCATGTAATTTTGACGCCCTAGGCGCAGGCGCAACAACAGGTCGGATTTAAAACAACAGGGGGGGGGGGGTTGAGAACACTTTTAAAATTGAAATAGAGCCCTTCTCTAGCCACGCAGTTTTAAGAAGTTTTTTCCTGCAAAGTAACTGCTTACTACGGGTGGCCCTAAGCTGAATTTCTAACGCCTACCCCCCTCGACTTTAACGCAAGGGCACCTGTAGCAAGGGGGGGAAGGGTACTTGAAACCATGTCCCACCATTTCGACCGTGAATGAGCAACTGAACACTGCCTTGAGAATCAGATTTGGAGAGTGACTTTAGCGAATGGGCCGACGGCTGCCCATCCAAAAAAGTCAGTTGGCAGTGGATTAGTGAACATGTTGATCGGCAAGCAAACCTTTTGGACAAAACCTCATTTTACGAGGGTCAGCCTGCGCGTCATGAGATTCGTCACATTCCGAGGTCAGAGTGAATGCCGGGGAGTCATATTATAATAACAGCAGTTTTTATCGTGGCATACGTTGATAAGCATCATCATCAGAAGGCTTTTTGCACTACTACATCAGAAGACGGCATCTCGCAGCAGTCCCGGTAGTTCGTCCAGCATCACAGACGAGGACCATTAGTTGCCGGATGACACGCCGTGGAGTGGTTTATTAGTGAGGGCAGCATCTACTTCCTCCAGCCTCCAGGATGTTCTAATAGCGAGCGGGATTACTGAGGCGGGCGTGGGTGCCCCGGTCGAACCCACATAAAGCCCTTCTGTCGAGACCACTACAGTCTAATTGTCATGTGGCAGGCGGACTGAGGTACCCCGTCGAAACGGAAGCTTCTGGTGAGTCGTAGTAGTTTAAAGACATCAGATATGCAGTAGTGGTATGCGTCGGATTCGAGACCAGGCTCACCCCCCACCTCCCAGACAGAAAATAAGATTGGGCGCAGTGGCTAACGCGGAATAGGTCTCCGATTGACACGCCTCGGGTTGCTCTCCACCAAGGATTAACTTGGTTTTGGGGCCCACCGGCAAGTCACGTGCAATACTGTGCTGGCTTCCCGCTGTAGAATTGTCTACAAAACCATCCCCAGCCATGAGAATAATAAGAAAGAAAGTGTATTTTTAAGTGGATGCGAATGTTTAGCGGCGTCAAAATTCCCCTGCGAGGGGGTTGGGGAACAATTCCTTGCTTGATGAAGTGCGCTGGTAGCTGTCAGGGTTGCGCTGACAATGCAGAGCCAACCAAGTTCTCCGAAACGTCAGCAACATCATAACTCTGCTCCAGTGTGAGTTCCTCTTCTTTATCAGATTAGCATTTTTGTAGGTTTCATTATTCTGTAGCAAGATATAACATTTATCCAACCGCAAACTTACTTCCCAAAGAAGACTATAGAATTTCCTAAAGCGCTTCTATGCGAATATGTAAGCCCCATAGTTTAATTAACGTGCGGAAATTGGAGGCAGTTAAGCAAAAAGTGCGTCTCGAAGATTAAAACATTAAAATTGTATGATTTTGTTGTTAAAATCGAGAAGGCATACATCTGCATACTATTATAAAAAAGATATTGTTTTCAGCTCACTCTCCCATAACGCCTCCATAAAAATAAGTTGAAAATGCGCGTCCGCCAGGAAGCGGACGTTTCTAATCAAAATAATCACAGGGAAACAAAAATATTTTTCGAGGGAACTCAGTGGAAGGAGTGCTGTGAGATTGTCCCATAAAGGCGATATGAAAGCCTTGCGTGCACATTTGAAAATTTGCCTCAGCAATTTCTGAGACTTGGTCTCCACAACACGAGGAAGAAAGGAGAACAAACCGCGCTGATCGCAGTGTGTTTTTGCTGTTAGTATGTCCAGTCCAAGTTAAATAACCAAAGAAATGGCGGAAAGAAGCTACGATTCAAATCTGCAACACCAGATGCCAACTCGCCGGATTCGCATCGCACGATCGGAAATAACGCTGGAACGAATCGCCTCGGTTTACAATGAACCAGAGCTTTTCCAACCTGTCAATATGGTCCAGGCGGAACAGGAAGTTTCGTCTAATCGCGTCACAAAAAACGGGAGATGAGGCCAAGCAGCGAATATTTCACAGATCCAAAATAAAACACACAAAAAAAGATCAAATGCTGGGGCGGTTCAAACTGGAGTGTCGACAGTCTGGTTTATGCTGCCCTTTTGCACCGGTTCGGAACTACGGGGGATGAAGTTCTATGAGCACCCTAAAGTCCGTAAAAAACTCTTCAAATTGTCAAGATCTTCAACAAGGTGGGGTGCAAAACAGGTGGGAAGTAAGATTTGACAGGGAATGTCGGACGAACGGCGGCTGCGTTATCGAACAGAGCAATGAGCATGCAGGGTGGCGGAGTGGGCATATCAAAGAACACAGGCTTCCGGAGTATGAGTTCAAAGGCTGCAAACTGGAGACGCGGCTTACCTCACATACTTTGTGTCCCAGGGAATACTTAATGCCTCTTTCGTCGCAGATGGCTGAGATGCTTTTAGCATACTTGGGTGCGCTGAATATCACTTTTGTCGGAGCGAAGTAGAGGATTTTAGCGTCCTTTTGACGCTTTTGCTGAAAGTAAAAGGTCAGTACATATACATTGCAGCAATGCTATCGGGGCTCAATATTACAGTGTTAAGAACGGTGTTACTTACGACAAGCTAGTAGCAATTATTTAGCGATTTACAATATCCCAGCATAACTTCATGCGCGGCCGTCGGTAGCAATTAGAGTTCTTTAATTAAAGCAAACAAATGACATAGTCGGCCCGCCTACGTGTCAGTGGCAAGGGCGTGGTCAGCGTAACGGAGGCCAAGCAGACCGTAGAAACAGAACACACAGTGATGCGAGAAGCGCATGAGGGTTTGGAAGAAGGCATAATTAAAAATTATGAAAAGTCAATTTGGCAAGCACGCGTTTTCGGTAACTCATCGTCGGACCAATACAGTTACATAGACATTGAAAATATGAAAAGTTCACAGAGTTTATAAGTGACCCAAGGGCCATTAACACTCATCGTTGCCACGCCACTCGCGTGAGGAGGTCCGCGTGTTATGATCATTGGGCCAAGGAAGGAGGAGGATGAGGAGGAGGAGGAGGAGGAGGAGGAGGAGGAGGAGGGGAGGAGGGCGACATAGGCTGTGATGTTTGTAAGTCGGGAAAGTGGAGCACACATCACTGTCACCAGGGAGTTGGGGGCGGCGTGTAATGAACGTCTGGGGTCAGCATTAATCACGGAAGACAGAGCGTCTTTGTCAACGTCTTCTGACAAAATAGCACTGGATTCACCGGGAACCGCCTAGAATTGACATTCCGGAGTACGAAGTCGAATGACTTGCGGCACACCAGTCGCAAAGCAACCGAGAGCAGATCAGGCTTAAATTAAACCTGGAACGCAAAGACTTCCCAAGTTTAAAGGCGAGCAAAGGCACTAGGTCCCTCGGGCGACAGGAACCCCGGAATGACGGGCCTGCCCGACTGCCTAGCCTGCGGACTATCCGGCGAGTCCACAGTTGGCCAGCAGTTGAACGGGCTTCATCGAAGGCTGGCGGCGAAAAGCAGCTACGGAGCATGTGTCAATAATACCTTCAGATATAGCGGGAAATAGACCCCCTAAATCAGCTACTTACGAAGATTGCCAGTCATAGAACTTGACCTCCTCCCTCGTTGCTATATCCTTGGAATTTTAAACTGGAGCGGAGCCTTCGAATCCATGAGTTACATGATACCATTCCTTTATCAGATGCTACTGTCCGGCGAATCAATTCCTAGTAGAGTTTTCGGACGACCGAAAGGCTATGCTGCTCATGCCGAGAGGGGCGAAATATGGAAATCGAGTCCCAAAGCAGCTGCAGAAAGACAATTAAGTGGTTTATGATATTAGTCCTAAAGCGCACACACCTTGGCAAAAAGCCAAAGATCCTCGGGTTTTGGTGGTTATCAGGGTGTCTTTAACTGATATCTTACAGAACCAAACATGACCTACTTACCGCCAGAAAAGTGAGTCCAGAAACTGTGGAACAGACATAGGTACCACGGAATCATGTCGTAATTGCGTGGTGACGAGCAGATAGCATGGTAGCGTAAACCGCAGCTCCAGAAAACGACATGAATAAGTATGACTGAATTCTGGCGTGCCAAAATTCAGGATCACTCAGTTGCGCCCTCTTTTTAAGACGCCATAAAATTGTTGGTGGTAAACTGACTTTATATGCGTGAAGTTGCATGAGGCTAATGAGTTGCAAGGCTAATGGTTGCATGAGGCTAATGAGTACACAGTTCAGAGGTTCTCGGATAGGGCAGTAAACAAACGTGAGCAAATTATGGAATAAACACAGGTCAGTTCCTGGTTTGATGACAGTAGGTTTTCACAGGGCTTACTCGACGAGTGACTGACCCCTGCGTTAGCGTGAGCCACAGCAGGGTCGCCGATTATACCAGAAGTGAGAAGGGGGAGGGGTGAAGAAAACTGCTAAATATTTTAATTCTCATTGAATTGAAATAAAGATATAAGCTTATTATCAATTAATCTAAAGCACCAGAGCGTAAGATCATACCTAACGCGATGAAGAGCCTCGCAACCAACGGTCAAATACTGTTGGCAAAAATGGTATATTTCACTCAAATATAACCTACTATGGTCAGTCATGCGGCCGTAGGCACTCCGACAATACAGTATTCACTCGTTAATTTCGGAACTGCCAATAACGACCCACAGTCATGCGAAATAGCTAGAAAGAGCATCTCCCGTGCGCTGAAGACTGATGGATGAGGAGACTACGCTTGGTATTCACAAGCTGCGAATGGACGATGGGGAGAGGCGGAGGGAGGGCTGTTCAACAGTGATTTCATTGTTGGTGGCATGTTCTGATATGACGGAGAGCAACGAGGTCGACATGACACTTACCTTTGCCGTGGGCAGACTATACTGAATGTAGGAACTCGTCGTGAGTATTTGCTTAGCTCATTGACGATAACTTTGGTCACGCCCTAGTCAAAGTGATGGCGACTTTAAGGCTAATGCGTAAATTAAATTAAGAAGTCGCCTTGCTGATCACATTCTCCCCACTCCCCCTCTTCCAGTGCGTGAACTGCACTCCTCCAGGCCATTTCATCCTTCGGTGGGTAGTTGACATTTCAATTAAATTAAGAAGTCGCCTTGCTGATCACATTCTCCCCACTCCCCCTCTTCCAGTGCGTGAACTGCACTCCTCCAGGCCATTTCATCCTTCGGTGGGTAGTTGACATTTCAAAAATTACGAAAATTCCCGTGGAGCAATTCAGAAGAGTATTTGGTGAACATACGCGTGTTTTCGATAAATTCTCATCGGGCCTGTGAATTTACATGGGAACGCGGTACAAACTGAAACCTGTGCCCGATGAGTGCAATCGATTGTGGTTCGTTTTCACATACTAACGGGGTATGTGAATAGGGGGGGAAGGGAGGGGAGAGGAGAGGAGGCAGTAGGTGACAGTAAAGATTAGGTAGGGCCATGTCACGGGGGCGGGTAGGAGGAAGGGACGGGGGCGCGGAGACATACATACCGTTAATCGAACTTTTGCCACGGCAGACGCGGAGCGTGCAAGAGGCTCTTCTGCGCACACAGGACCGGCCCCCGTAGCCTGATGGCAGTCGCTTCTGTTGTTGCTAGTAGGCGCCGACCCAGTCGCTCAGGGTAGATTAAGTAATCGAGCTCAAATGCTATTCGTACTCAGCACTGCATCAAAGTTGCTGCTGTAGGGCTTTGCTCTGTAATGGCCGTCCATACAAAGCGTGTACTCGTCATAACGACAACTATGTCTGGTGTAGATGAGCAGACATAAAGAGTTTTCGTTTCACAAGCTCCTTACTCGCCTTCTCAAGAATAGAAAATGTTAACCCAGACTTAGTAGGACTGTCATACACACAGGAGAAGGCATGTTATATGATGTCGCATTCCGATACCTTTTTCGGACTCAGACAGTCAGAGTTCTGTCTGTCAGATATATAATTCAAAAGGATACCCATTGCCCGGGTCCTCGTGGACATGAACGTTCTAGTGCGTAGCATTAATTGCTCACTTTGCAAGCCCAATGTCAGGGACCCAAAGGTGCTGGCTTTCCAGAACACGACAGAAACAGTCGCATTCCACCTGCCGTAGACGGGGGGTCCACGAAAGACCCTTTAGGTCTTAAGATGACGGCTAGTAATGAAGACTTACTGGATGGCGGAAGTCATTCATACTGTCGCAATCTCACTGGGCTGCGGTTTTTTATGGCTCGCCTATGTGCCAGGTAGATGACACGGGAGACCCTGGCGGCTTTAGGATGCACGACTGCCAATACGCCGGGATAGTGGGCTTGCATATTCAGCAGTAGGCCTTCGTGCAGCAGCCACACAGCGGTGCGTAATATAGGCAGAATAGTATTACAGACGGCGGGGCTCGAGTGAGAGCCCCAAGGTACAACGGGATGAGTGAGTTCCGTAACACGATCTGTGAGCGTGCCTCTACCATATTTGATGGCTGTTCACAGGTGACGTGCCAAGCTGTCGTGAGAAGGCTTTGCGGGGTTCTGTAAGACAGCCTGTCTGCCAGAGTTCAGCCCTGGCCAGCGAGTACTTATTTGTCAGGCCTGAGAACCCACCATTTTCACAGTTAACCTTTACCGAAGGCCGTTCCACTGCGCATCACTCATAAACGTGCCGGTTATGGGCAAAGGTGTTTTTCCGGAAAAACCATACTCTAACGTTAGCTTCAGTCCTAGTCCTCACTTTAGCCCGGAGCCTAAATCGGAATTCCCGCCCAAATCACGTCCGTTTAACACAACTAACCCCTTGGTGACCCAGAAATTCGCCGAGTTTTTGACCGATTTCAGTCATTGCTGAGCGCCTCAAAAACCGTCATGATGCAGACGGCAAACCACTTTGTCCTCACCACAGCCACTCACTGAGGTGTCCGAATTCAATCAAATAGTTACGCCACGAGCCAAAACCGCCAACCTTAGCGGTGTCTGCGACTCCAGCATGAAGTTAAATGCATGGAGAGTCCAATATAACAGCTTTGTAGGTAGGACCTTGTTGTCAATTGCATTGCTACGCCTCTCGTCAGCCTTCCACTCCTGCTCCAGATCGTCTCCGTCAAGGACTTCCTCAGGTTTATCCATACACGGTTCGGATTTACCGGATGGAAACAGAGATCAAAGCGGTCCATAAAGTAAAATGGCAGATGGACGAGCCCACAAGCCAGACCAGAAGTAGCCACTAAAGTTCCGCTCTTGACGACTCCAATGAACAGCAGTGGGGTCATGAAAGGCAATTGTTATTCCTACACAGAACTTACTTGGCGTAAGTAGTCCTCAAAGAGGAGCATCGCCTTCAGAGGAGCACCGGCACATTTGATGGGAGGGTTTGGAAATGAGAAAACAGCGGTCCCAGTCTTGAACTGCTCAAAGGCCCTATGGGTCTTCAGCATGTAGTCAGGCGAGTAGTTTGAGCAGACGCGGGGATCATCTTTCAAGGCATCCAATGCTCCGCTGAGCTATGAAGGGAGACGATGCGAAGTGCATAAATAGGCTGAGTAAGAGGTCGATAGGTGAATAGACAGGATAGGATTGGATGAAAAACAAATGTTAGGCGGAAATTTAAAGGTACATAATAAAATGTTGCAAGTGCCTTGACTCTCGGGCTACGGAACGTGATTTCTTGGCAAAAAGCCTAGACGAGTCATGTACAAGGACACACTTTGTTTGATGTGAGCAGGTAGGAGTGGGAAAATTGGGGATGTGCAAATTAGGAAGAAAACTAAAACCTAAGGTTGTCAGGAAACGACACATGCCAAGGACATCTCGCCCATTCCCCACACCTGTCAACTGACCGGCTCGGACAGTGGCCGGTGTTTGGGGATGGAGGCGGCGGAGGAAGAGGTCGACGACTCAGCGAACTTTCCTCACTATAGACAATCCGACGCGCTTGAAGCTATCAGGGTGCGCTAAAAGGCGTGGCTTGCGAGGTTGCCAACTGGCGGGATAACTTTGACCTCCTAGTCGGTCCAGTGTTGTGTCTGTGCGGAGCGGCCGACTGGTGGGCTACGAGTCAGGCTGCACCGGCTCCTTTTTAATGTGGCCTTTATGGCACTTCCACTCCGTGGGATCCGAGCCAGATGTGACGGAACGCCTAGGTGCGGTTTCGGTCGTGCCAGCCACCCTTTTGTTTTTAGCTAAAATCCCGGTCATTTGATATGTGGACCAGGGAGTGTGGTGTGGAGCGCCATGGTGCGGGCTTGGCCGTCCCATCCGCCTGCGCCCTTCCTCACCTCCGGTCTTCTTGACTCTGTCTTCACACCGGGCTCAGGTGAGGGAGGAGAGAGTGCGAAAGATGCTGCGCAAGTCTACCGTCACTATAAACTAAATCCAGCGCAAGTCACCGTGCCTGCTTCAACTTGCCGTGGAGCACACAGCGGACATCGTCGGTCGCGACGGTCAAACTGCCAAAGTGAAGGTCGGGCGTTAAAAACGGCCATATGCAGTAGATGGTCAAAAGTGCGAAACAAAGTGTGCTATCGTCAGAAGATGTTTGGTGGACAAGTTAGAAAATCAGTTTTGAATGCGGTACGTGAGACATATTTTGCACTGTAAAAGACACGCCAGAGCAGTTTTGGAGAAAGGAGGACTGCATAGTTGCGGATTACAAAACCGACAAACTGACTATTACAAATACGTGCATTCTTCTGAAGACTTAGGGTAAGTGATACAGAAGAAACCATTTAGGCCTAAGTCAGGCAAAATCGAGCAGGAACACTACTATGGGTCATCAGGAAAAGACATACGTTTTAGTACATAGTTTTGAGTAGAAAAGTCGGTCGGATCTTATTTCGTAGCTGTGCCTGCAGTAGACAAGCTTCAGCCTAACCCCAAACTCCAACCCCTAGCTCCTAACCATAGCCCCTCACATGGACCCCTCTCCTTAACCCCTAACTCCAGTCCCTAACGGATGCGGCCACGAAGTAAGATCTTGCCGAAAAGTCTCCGGATTTCTTCATGAAAAGGCGTTTGTTAACCCTATATGCTGCGTATAATGCATTATTGACTAAAGGCACTGTCAAGGTCGCAGTCTAGCTTAAGGTGAACTAACAAACATAGGCCAAACGCAAATCGCTTCGGTCGAGAGAACAAGAAACGTGCTTTTGGATTATCGGATTTTACGCGAAGCAAACGTAGCGGTTTAAGTAGGAAACTGGCTCATTACTCACCATACAATGGCCTGTTGCCGGATACATAGAGTTTTAAACAGGTAACAGACCCCAAGGAAGAGGGGATTTTCTTTAAAAGATGGGATGTGTGGAAGAAAGGTGCGATTATGTTACAGGGCGCAATTGTGCTAATGCTCACCCTAGAGCTCTCGAGGGCAGCTGTCTTGATATATGCCGAGGAGGGGTACTGAAAATGACAAGGGAGGCTTAGATGACGAATTCTGGCTTATTGATCGTCATGAGCCGTCGATGAACTCCTTTCCTATGATAGTTAATAGTCCCGATCAATGGTGAAACATTGGACTACTAATCGCTCAATGACCAAAGGACTCGGGTTCGAATCCCAGATAATCTAGGCTTGCGGCCAGGGTAATGGTAGCCAATGACAACGGCTAATAGACCGGAAATGGCTATCAGACTTCCTTGTCTTTACTTGTACTTGTTACAGCTGCGATCATGTCTGAGCTAGTCGGCCACGATGATGTCATGGAATGCACTTTTCATCGCGTTACGATATGCGGCCACAGATCTGGACAGCTCGACGCACTACCTTCGCCAGTAACGGAGACCAACTACCGAAGGTCTGACAACCACTCCCATGTCGTGACAGTTGTGTTGAGTCAGGATTTTAGTTGAGCCCCCCCCCCCTCGAAGCCTCCAGGTGGGTAACTATTCCCCTGTCGAGGGCAGCAACACTAAGCGTGTGAGGTGGACGACATAGAGCGTGTCCAAAGCACTGCGGTCGTCCTTTTTGAATGGCCTTACAATGTTCTCGCAGCGAGTGCAGACTGTCTAATTTGAGTCGAAGTCGATGTACTTCACTCAGAGGATTGTTCTCAAACAGCGCTGATCAGATACAGTGCGTGACCGATCTCATGAAATGTTAGCCAAAATTCTGCAATACGTTTCCGATTAGGAAGGATTACTTAAATAAGGTTGTTATACTGATTAACATGCAGCACAACCCTAAAACATTTCGCACTCGCTAGGATGTCGGCTTTTGAATGCACTTCTTTTTGACCGTAAGCAGAAACTACACTCGGTAAAAAATGGCCACTTGAGTAGAATGCATTTTTTCAATTGATTTTCGTCGGTTTTATAAATTCAAATATATGTTACAGAAAACATGCACAAGAATATGCTTTATTTTGCTCATGTCGAAGGAGATCACATTTTGTTCATATTTTATGCCCGAAGAAAGTGTACATTTAGGTTTCAAAAAAGTTTATAATTACGAGATTTTTAAGAGCGTGCGATGGTCATGCATGCAAGACCGCACATTTCCATTTACTAATGCTCCACATGAAGTGTACAACACTGTCCGTATCCATTGCAAAATTTCATGAACTCTGTGGTATCTTCTCAAAGACATAGAGGACTATATGATTTTCCTAACACGGAAAGCATGCAGCTTGTAGACTGAAATTGCCAAACGTTGATGCAATGGCAGATCAGGCTGAAAATTATTAGAGAATCAGGAAACTTTTTTTAAAACCTAAATATACACTTTCTTCGGGCATAAAATATGAACAAAATGTGATCTCCTTCGACATGCGCAAAATAAAGCATATTTTATGCAGGTTATCTGTAAAATATAGTTGAATTTGTAAGACCATCGAAAATCAATAGGAATAATGCATGCTCCTTATTTAGCCATTTTTGCAGTGTGTGGTTTCTGCGGACGGCCAAAACGAAGTTTATTCAAAAGCCGGCATTCTGGCAGGTCCGAAATGTTATAGGGTTATGCTGCATGATAATCAGTACAACAACCGCGCTCAAGTAATCATTCATAATCGACAAACGAATTCCAGGATTTTGGCTAACATTTAATGAGATCGGTCACGCATTGTACTTACAGTTTCCCCTCATTTTCAACGCGTACAGTCCAGCATTCGCAGCCGTACAGAAGGACTGAATGGACAAACGCACGGTACACGCGAATTTTTGTGGCGATGGAGATGTCGCCTCGGGTTCATAGACACTTTCGACGGCTTGAGAAAACCCGCTGAGCAGCATCGATTCGGGCGCCAATTTGGTCTTTACTCTGTCCATTCAGCAGCAGCCTAATCCCGGGGTATTCGAAACTGTCCACATCTTCCAGCTGACACTCCTTAATCACGAGGGGTGCCTGCTCGCGATCAAGGAGGCAGTTTGAAGACACTGATCTTTCCAGCGTTCACGGATGAACCAACGGATTTAGTGACGTCATTCACACGAAGTATTTGTTGCTGAATCCCTTGTCCTTAATTAACAGGTGTTTAGGCAGATTTCGTCACAACCACTTTTCAACATAAAAGATGGAATCTGTTTGTCAGCTTAGCTGCTGGTCAACAGATGGCGGTCCGTACAGCAGCCGACCGTGAACTCTTGTTTCTAACTAGACTGGATTATCACATTAGAGAAGCGTGCACCAATCAAAAAGATCGGCTGACTTGGGGCTTGAGTCTCGAGTGTGTAGCTAGGGATTGGAATATCATTGGCTGATAGCAGTAAACAAGCCAGAAATTTAAAAGAAGACAAAGGCCTGATCACTAGGACGGTAGATTTATTGGGCTAAGCTTTCGGACTCGAAATAAAGTTCATAATCGGAAACTGCTTGAGTGCAGCAACGTGCGGACATTTATAGCGTTGTGCCGTGGATAGGTCTGGTTTGTGCCGACTGGCTCACGATGGTCCCCCCCGCCCTGCGTGGTGACGGCGGTTGAACTTCGCGGCGATGTGAGCTGCGCCACCCGGCTGCGTGGACGGAATGCGTGATAACACGCAGGCATATCAATGTGTCTATTGATAGAGTTGGTGTACGACATCCACGCCCCCAACAGTTTTTGCCCATATGCGCGTGTTGGCGAAGTCGAACTCATGGCCTTCTTCCAGCGTGTGAGTGGCGACTTGAGATATTGGGTCGCCTCTCCGAACGGCCCGTTTGTGCTCAAGCATTCGTGAGCTGAGACGTCGTCCTGTTTGGCCTGCGTAGTGGCAGGGACAATTCTGGCACGGGATTTGATAGACTACGCCCGACTGTTCACCTGCGTCCAGCCGATCCTTCATCTTCATGATTCTGCTACGCCTGGTAGCCACTGGATGATGAGCAATGCCCACGCCTAACTCTGACGCAATGCGTTCTGTAGCCTCGAACACATTTTTCATGTACGGTAGGGAGTGCCAAATTGTTGGTGTCTCTCTTCCGTTTGCCCGTCGTGGGTGCGTGCGTATGCAGCGGCTGATGAAACTATTTGGGTAGCCGTTTTTTGTTAATTGGTTCCTGAAATGTCCTAGTTCTTGCATCCGTCCTTCGGACCCGCTATAGTGCCTTTTTACTCGGTCGAAAAGCGCCCTCACACAGTCCCGTTTGTGCACCAATGGGTGGTTGCTATTATAGTTGGGGACCTCAGTTGTGTTGGTCGCCTTTCTGTACACTGTAGTGCTGAGTTTACCATCAGGTGTGCGCGTGACGAGCACATCAAGGAAGGGTGGTTTCTCGTCATCCTCATCTTCTATTGTAAACTGAATGTCGGGGAAGATGCTGGTAAGCAGGTCTTGAAAACCAGATAGCCAGAATTGCCATTCAAATGGCTCAGTCTTTGTCGTTCAAAAAAAGTTCGCAAACAGAAATCTGTTTGACAATTACGCAGCCGCAGGCGAGCAACGGCAGTGCTACCTACATGAGGAGGACTTTTTATTGGCAAACCGACCACCCTGCCGAAAGACGGATTTATGACAAGACGATAGTGAACCTCATTTGAAAAAACCTCTTTCTCACCATCGCCGCCTAGCTGACTGGATGTTCATCCAAAGGTCGAATTCAGAAATATAACTGACGTGGGAATTTTTGTGTCATCCTGCCCACATTTTCACGAACCGGAAGGACCTCCGCAAGTGTACGCACCAAATATTGAATCGCGCATATGAGGATATGTTAAACCGAAAGATCACGAACAACATGTGCTCTCAGGAGATGATTGCTTAATTGGTATTTTAAATTAAAGATGGACTTTCATGCATAACTGAGGTCTTACAGTAACGGATTGCAAAATTTCAACAAGCTTACCAAATCATATCGCAAGCTGACGCCCAGACAGATGACGAGGTAATCATATGTGATCTACGAGGAGAAAAAGAGGAGCAAATTCGCATAGTCAGTAAAATTCAAATTAAATACTTAAAGTCAAAAAGGACAGAAGATTCAATAATGCGCGCATACGGGGTGGCCATACGGCGCCCTACTAGTTGAAAATTTAACAATCTTTAGGCTGCAGTTGAAACTAAATGAATAGAGACTGCAGGATGTCATCCAAGCCATCGCACCTGGGGTTCTCGGTCGTGCAAAACGACAGCACAAACGATTAGGAAGTCGGTCACCAGCTTCCCAGAGATAAACAGTCTACCCACGTTCATGTAAATAACCGGACTGACACCAATAAGGCTGCATTTTTTATGTCGAAACCTGTAGCAATAGATGCGAAACTATTGGCTGACGCGCACGACTGAGGAAATCCGAGTAAAGGGCACTGCACCACTGATCAGCCAGGATGGAGCAACCCTACCGTCGAATAAGTCTCGGATCCTGAAGCACTGAGTTGAGCACTTCAAGGATGTCCTCAAGCACCAGTCTAAAATTCGCGCGTCAGTGAAAACCGATTGCCGGGTAGGTGTTCGGCAGTTTTCCTTCCCTCCCCCCCCCGCCATGGCAGTTGACGGTGTCATGTATCTGCATTTGACCTACCAGGCCTTACGCACAAGACCCGATAGCGTTAGCAGCACAAAAAAGTAAAATCAGAAATGCTTTCGCATTAACGAACAATGACGGAGTAGTTCACACTCGACACCCTTCAACGCAGTCACGCGAGAGGAACGCGCTTGTGTCGATAGCACAGGCATAAATGAACCCGGCCAAATCACTCGATGGAGAAGGAGAGACCAGTTGGAGAGTTGCAGGAATTATGGCATCGCAAAGGCCTCCTCAGATATGCGCGCATATATAAAAAATAATTATAAAGACGAGGAGGGATGACAGAGAATGTGGGGAGATTGATACAGTAATTTTTCGGGCTTATTTTGCCTTCATTCAGCTAATTATAGCCCTGACCAGCAGCTGGGACCAGACACACATACATGCGCACAGACGCACCTGGCGCAGTTTGCTTCGTGAAGCCAATAGATCGCTGTGCGCCCATTCCTGATTAAATAACTACCCCATGTGTAGCGACAGAGAATGATAGGTGACAAGGTACTGAAGAACTTCGGTTCGATGAAGTGCTTATGACCCATCTGGTAGACCCAAGTGGTGGACCAACTGCGCCAGGTGCGTCTGTGCGCATGTTTGTGTTTCTGGTCCCAGCTGCTGGTGGTCAGGGTTATGATTGGCTGAAATTAAGGCACAGTAAGCCCGAAACAATACAGTATCAATCTACCCGCATTCTGTCCTACCTCCTCGCTGCTATTATAACGTAGCCACCTTCGACCTGGTAATTGGTTGCCTGTTCGTGACCTTTGCTACCCATACGGAGATTGTTTGCTTCGTGAAGCCAATAGATCGGTGTGCGCTCATTCCTGGTTGAATTACAGTAGGTGGGTGTCAACTGAAATTCCGAAATGCGTTTTCGATTCGAAAAGATTGATTACAGTAGATGTGCTAACTCATGAAATGTCAACCAAAATTTCGAAATGCGTTCTCGTTTCGAAAAGATAAATTAAGTAGTGTTGTAAAACTAATCATGATGCAGCATAAAGCTATAATGATCCAGTCACCTCAGGGTGTCGGCTTTCGAATGAACTTATTTTCGGCTGCATGCAAAATCTATACTCTGCAAAAAATGACTACTTAAGAAGCATGCAATCTTCTCATTGATTTTCGATATCCTTGAAAATTCAATTATATTTCATGGAAAACATGCATAAAAATATTCATTCTTTTACTTATTCGGTAGAAAATCACGTCTTCTGCTACCGGCCTCTGGTATAAAGAGGGGAGACGGCGGGAGGGAAAGCGCTCAACTGGAGGGGTTGTTTGTGAGCAGGCCTGCCGCCCACATTTGTATAAGTCTGGTCAACCAAGCTTGGCTGCTGCGGCAAATGCATCTTCCTGAATCAGGTGGGCGCTAATGGCAGCAGATGAGAGGTCAATTAAAAAAGTGGGGCAACACGCCGCAAAAAAACAACCACCTGTATATGCTGCCGCTAAAGGTAGGGGAGCAGCAGTAGACTCGATTAATCTGACATGAACTCTACTCTCACCTGGCGCGCCGGGTTTATGCGCGAATTGGAAACGGCAGGTGAAAAAGCTCTTATTCGAGCGACGAAGTCTACTGCATATGCGCTACTTCCTGGGACTCGACTTCTCGCATGTATTGAGGGTTGGAATAGCTGTTTCTGAAGTAGATGACGCTAACAACCAGGGATATTCAAACTACAGGTCAGCGGGGAAGGTCGGAGATTTAAATGATGGTCCAGTTGGTCAGTGAGCGTTCAGAGTCAGAAGCTAGGTAACTTGAGTCATTGGCTCATGCGCCGTCAAGAATTTTTAGTCATGCGGAGAAAGCACTCTGCCGACCTAATTGTGCGAGTGAAGCTGCTCGTTTCGTTTTTTGCCCCGGAGTTCTAAGCAACGGTCCACAGAACGTCAAGGCAAAAAAATGAGAGCGCAATGCTCCTTCCTGCTCAAGGGGTCACTTTTAAGTGATTTCAGGGTGGCAATGTTAAGAAGAAGCATGGTTTTAGACGGGCAAAGGCCTGAGCCAGTTCAATATTGGTGCGAATTCGATACCTAGGTGGTATGCTAAAAGAAGGAGGGGCGTTCAGTGGGGGGGGGGGTTTATTTTGGGTCTAACATTTCGAGTGGTGATTTCGGTTGTCAGTGTGTGGCGAATTTTGTCCGACGTGTACTTCGCATGTTCAAACTGTGGGGCTGGATTGAACGCCCGTTTCACCGTTACCTGTGTCGCCCCCGCTTTCGCTGACCATGACAATAGTTGGCGGTCCCAATGTTTGCACGCTTTCACTGCCTACCATCACGACGGTTCTTAAAACCAGATAGCGGATGAGGCAGTAGGATCAGCAGCCGGTGAACATCCAAGCTTCCTGCACCTGTGCGATCATCGCCCGCCCTCTCTATGATCTCAACGGCGTCAAAATTTATGATGTGGCCCGTCTGCGTAGCACGAGCTACGCAGAGGCAGCAACTCATGTCACAGAGCCGAGCTGAAGTTGACAAAACTACGCAAATGGGACGAATATCATTGTTCTTAGACGACCAGTCATTCCAAATTTCCCCTGTTAAGCCTTGCACGGAAACAGCGAAAGTAGTTGAGCTCAAGATGGGTGAGGGGATGCGCTGGTCGCTTTTATTAAGGCCTTCATTAAGGGGCTTGGGCAACGGAGCACTCATTAGTGGTCAAATTGGAGGGCGGGTGACGACATCGAATAGTATTCAAATGATGGTGCCAGTAATCCGTGGCCCTCACTTTCATATAGGTTCAAGAATCGGTAAAAAAAGCTTTAAAACACGAGCAATTTTTGTAGAAAAATATCATGAAATTGGTTGGACTACCTCCTTGCCAGCGGCGGTGACAACCTTATTAGCGGGTGGGTCAAAGGCTGCCACACTGTCCTTGATCCACTGCGTGTTCTGCGGGATCGCCTTCTTCATGGGGATGAAGGTCTGCGAAGGTTCATATAAGCCCGCACCCACTAGCGTGAATGCCGGTTGATAGTAGTGTTTCTAAAGTGAGAAAAAATAGCGTCCAGTTTGATTGCATGTACTGCATTAAGTCGGAAATACAACACTGCCTATGTGTACAGCCAAAAACCTCTAAGGGGCAGAGGCCCGCATTACAAAACGTAGAGAAAATTCTGACTCCAAAGGCTGATAAGATGACAAAGGAATAAGCGGAGTGAGGACAGGCCATGACCGATACTAGAACCCCCAAATTTGTGAAACCTCAAGACCTAAAATCAAACGACTACGACACTTCTGACCCGTCGTGGTTTTTGTTGTTGATTAAAGTCCTGGTCAGTTGTTGTGTGAACCAGGGGGTGTGAAATGGAGCGCCAAGGTGCGGACTTGGCTGCCCCATCCACCTGCGTCTCCCTCCCCGTCTCCGGTCTTCTTGGCTCTGTCCTGACACCAGGTCCAGGTAGGGCGTGAGGAAGAGAGAGAGCGCGGTAGATGCTGCGCAAGTCTACTGTCATTATCAACTAATTCACGTGCACGTCAGCGTGCCTACTTCACCTTGCCGTGGAGCATACGAAGGACATTGTCGACAACGAATGCTGACTGCAGACATTGGCTGGGATGAAATGATTTTATCAGATCATACGGATGGGTGGTTGATCAAAGAGCAATAAAAATAAGTAGAGAGTCGTACGACTGAGGACGTTGTCTGATAATAACTGCAAGGGATCGGAAAGCGTGCCTTATGCTGTACCTCCTGCCATTCGTAATAATAAATCATTCTCGAAAAGGAGAAGGGAAGCGGTCAAATTACAGATCTGGTGATTACCGGCTAAAGATACCACAGCAGGGGCGAGACAGGTTCCCTAATAATAAACCCCTGCCTCATCCAGTGACTTCCTTTGTGGAAAATACCACACCCATATAATTCCCCACAGTCAGTGACATTAGCCTGCCATTTATCTTGCACAGTCGTACAGGATGAGAGTTTGGTCAGAATCGGTATGCGGGGGGCACATAAAGCATTAGAAACGAGCAACTGGCAATTATAAAACTGCACGCAAGCGCGTGCGGTAGGAAGCGACTGCATCCGCCTTCATCTTCAGTTTCCCTTGTCATAAGAATAGCGATTATGGGGGCGTCAGAAGTCTGATTCATTACAAAAACTTCGCACGTTAGCTCACAAGGCCTTTCCGGGTGCGTTTTGTCGTCGCTTGTTACGGACGGATTCATTAATAGGCTACTATGATCGAGCACGAGAATACAGACCGCGGGTACTATAGGTGGTCTAGAGCTAAACTCCAGAGGACTACTTAATTCTGTGCCTTAATTCTAACCCCAACCCTACCGCCGATGTCCCTGTGCTCACCCGCTATCACAATTTCGGATGCTTTAATAATACACAGCCTCTCCAGGGGTTGCAGTGGGTGGTCCTGTAATCGAGTTCGCATTTCCAGGGGCCACGAGACAGCTTTGATGGCTCTATCGACTGTTCCCGACAGTCATGTAAGAACGAGACAGTTGTTAGTCACACAGTGCATAACGGCGAGAGAATCAGCATCAACCCGCGTGTCTTTTTTCGTATCAGAAACGACTTGTCGGCGAGTGTTTTGCTCGAGGGGAGCCAACAGCAAGATGAAATCAACAGAGCTGAGCGGGCACCAGCATTGCCAACCACAAAGTCCAATACCGCCAAAATGCATTTGGGGTAGCATAAGGATGCATACAGTCAGTAACTGAGACATGCACGAACAGAGTTAATTGGCGTGGAGGGCACACTTTCAGTCAAAACACTGATGGCTGATGATTGAGTGGATTAGAACCGATTCCAAACGTGCAAATGCGCCCGTTTAAGAAGGCAGTGATGAGCGTGATGGCGGCAGCAACAGGGTCAAGCGCAACTGACCAAGATAATCCCAGAAGGAGTCCATAGCATAATTGTTTTATGTGAAGGATGGCAAACTAGCAGAAGCAGATGTTGGTCTTCGAATTTAAAAACCTAGGCTAATTTTATCCAAACTAGGGGGTTATGCACATCCTAAAAATGACAATATGCTGCCAAGTCCGAAAGCGTCCTTTGAAAATTGCCCTGCTTACGTAAGGGTAGTGTTCTCCATCCTCATCTTCATCATCATCACTATCTTCTTCATCCTCATCGTCATCAGAACCGTGACCACCGACATCTTGACCGTCGTTTCCATAGTTTACTTTACAGCAAGGCGGAAGCAGGAACGGTGACTTGCTCCTGAGTAGGTATAAAGTTATAGTGGACCGACACAGCATCTACCGCACTCTCTCCTCATCACCTACCTGGGGGGGGGCGGAGAAAGGAGGCAGGTGGTTAACACGGCGAAAACCTGCACCCCGATGTACCGCCACACTCCTGGCCCACCCCGTACAACTGACAGGGATTCTACATAACAGTAAAAAGGGGGGACGGGTCGGATTCCGACAGAGTGGGAGCGCCATAAAAGCCTCGTTAGGAGCCAAAGCAGTCACTACTACTACTACTACTGCTGCTACTACTACTACTACTACTACTGCTACTACTACTACTGCTACTACTACTACTACTACTACCACTACTACTACTGCTACTACTACTGCTGCTACTACTACTACTACTACTACTACTACTACCAATACTACTACTACCATTACTGCTGCTGCTACTACTACTACCACCAACATCACCATCATTCACCCGTCGCGATGTGGCTGACGAGCTCCAGGCATTTGCGGTATGTGAATTGATTTTTCAACTGGCGGCGCTGGCAGACCAAGGCACCAAACCAGCGGCGATGAAAAGGTAAAGGGGGCTTTCACTCTCGCGAGAGAACATGAGATCCAAAAGACCACAAGCCGCTTGCGCAAACAGACTACATGAACGTCTTGAATAACCGGACGTAAATGCAAGACTCTCCTCTTATAAACACCGACTGCTGGGTACCATCAAAACTTTTTTAACCTCTGAGTTATAACGTTTAGCTTTCAGGCCCGGAGTTCATTTACGGGGAACCAGAATACGTTTTGCAACAGAGTGAAACAAAATCACCACTCGGAAGCAGTTTCGTTAAGTTTGATTCTGTGGCAAGAGCATCGTGCCTCAAGTGTAGGATGTGGGTCAACAATGGAGTATTTTTACTACAAAAAACTGTTTTTTTCATTGACTACTAACAGTGTTTGTTCTGAGAAATACAGTCAACCTTGACTCTAACCGAAGAAATCGGTGAGAGGAAGAAAAGAAAGAGGAAGCAAAAAGGGGGAAAAGCAAAAAAACATAGAATAAGTCAAAAAAGATAATTGCCACCTCTGTCCGGTGTGTCACCGGCGACCGACCTCTTGATGATTATGACGATGATGATGAAAGCTGGCAGAAAACAACACCCGAGTTTTAGCGTACCAAGAAAAATCCGCCAACACGGTATTTAAATAACGAGGATGAAGATTGACCACGTTCTCGAGTGCAAACAGTAGGCAGGCGGGGTCGCCGACTACTCCTCTGTGTGAGGAGCTAAAACAGCCAGTGAGTACAGTTCATAAATTGCTGCCATGAGGGCGCAATCGCGTCTGCATCTACGTGGGTCCTTGAAATCCTAATCCAGCTAATTTGCCCAACTGCCGAAGATTCACACATAAAAAACCAGTCAGCCGCATGCATGCCGGGGCGTTACATGCCGTTCCACTCTGGCAGACAACCGTGACGCACAGCCGTCGTATATGAATAATGAGAGGTCGCAGGTAGGAACATGATTGCTGAGGTCTTGCCTGCCTACACAGACCATGGCGCGAGTTGGGCGAGACTGGGTATCCGCGGGCATCTGATTGGCGGAGGACGAGCGACGCGTCCGCGGTGCCGGAAAGGCATGTTCTTTCATCGCTGCAGATAACCGTCTGTTGGTGGAATAGTTTTGAAATGAGTCCTTCCTCTCCTACAAGTTCTCATTTCCTGATATTTTCTCAACAGTCAATTACATCTACGGTACTCCTAATTGACTCTTTTTTCAAAAAATATTAATTAGTTGATCAGGATAGAAATGAGGGCGGATGTCCTTGCTACCTTACGGAGAGGTTTTTGGGCCGGAAGGAACCATTTACGGGTTACTTAACCAGCCATCTCTGGATGCACCCAGCGAAACCTCTTTCACAACTACCCCTACGACTGTGCGCCGAAAGTTCGGTAGGTACCGAGAACCTTCGGAAAAACAGTATCCTCACTCCTTCCCGGGTGAAGCCAGACTCCAACAAAAATACTCAAAAACCCTTCTTGTGTCATTCCTTCGAGGAGAGGAACAAATAGGAAGGCCGCAGCCCGATGGACATCGTCATCAACAGCTTGGTTAAAATCCCCCCTGAACCACCTCCACACCTAACGGGTTGCGCAAACAAAGAAGTACCTTGGTAGTCTTGGTCCGGTACTCTCGGTAAGCTCACTGCAGCTAGGCGCATGCTTCTGAAACTCCTTAACTTCATGAAGGCATATTAGTAATAAATGCAGAGATCTGGGTGAACAATGGAAGGCGAAGGTATTCCATCGTTTATGCTGGCGCCTGAAAAGGTGCTATCCTTCCGCCAGATAGTCTTGCCTAGACGACAAATGAGGCACTGGCTACGGTTTTCGTCAGCTACAAGCGTCCGAATGAGAACAAGACCTGTTGTGCTCGAATCTGGACTATCTACTAGTGACGTGAGTCTATTCTTCGTCGTTGTGTCCAAGTGGATCGCCAATGAACCGCAAAAAGTAGTCTGCATAGAGTAAAACGCACGCTTCCCACTCCCCTTCTTGTCACCCGCCATCCTTTTGACCTACCTTTCTTGGCCATGAATCTACTATCCTTAACAATTTGATTCTACCTTTTCATCTCTTTTTGTCGTTGTCACTTTGTTTTCTCTTCTTCTTCTTCTTCTTCTCCTTCTTCTTCTTCTTCTTCTTCTTCTTCTTCTTCTTCTTCTTCTCCTTCTTCTTCTTCTTCTTCTTCTTCTTCTTCTTCTTCTTCTTCTTTTTACTCCTCCTCCTCCTCCTCCACCGCCACCACTGACACAACCTCCTCCTCCTACATCCTCTTCTTCTCTTAATAGCGACAGTTCGACCATCGCAAACGATGATGGCCATAGGATTCCTCACAGTACAAACACTGCTCAACGGCCTGGCAATGCAGGGATGGTACAGGGTCCTGCCATGACCGCGAAAGGATAGGGGGCGGACGGCTACCATTTTTAGACCTTAAAGTGCCTAATATAATGTGCATGCAACAGGTCCTTTCGTCTCTCTTGAATAGCCCACGGTCTCGTTGTGAGGTGTAGGAAGGAAAGGAAAACTCGACTCTGTAGGTGCAGGTCGTGTCATCCAACTGCATTGCTGTGTAACGAGTGTTGCCGATGCTCAAAAGTCCGAAGTTTTTCATGATAAGTGTCTTTGGTTAATACTGTGTCGCGTGCGCCTGAGACTTGACCACTGATCAGGGACGCTTGTTACTGATGCAATGGAAGATCGTCGTTGGCCACCAAAAGTGGTCAGGTTGCAGTTGCGCAGCACAAAAACGTGGGCTAGAACGGCTCGCAGCACGCGTTAATCGAGCCGTGCGGGATACGCGCATCCAGGATCTACTGTCGCACGCTGGGATGTAATGCCAGCCTCTGCACCCAAACCCAGCGCCAGATGGCCGACAGGCTCTGACAGCCGACTGGCACACGGCGGAGGAATGACAAAGCGAGGTAGATTCTGGGTAATGCATCCTCACAGAACGTCAACGCATTCTTCACTAAACATAAACCTGGCTCGCTAAAATTCATTGCGTGGAAGTTTACATAACTGATCAGGCGACTCGATCCACTCAGTACGGAGATTCAGCCCAAATGGCTCCCTCCTAGATGGGATTCGAGCCGCCCTCGTGAAATCCCGAACCATTGTGCAGGGAATCAGGTCGTGTGCGGGCTGTTTAGCCTGGTCAACCACTGTGCCCCAGTGCGCCTCCGGTCGTTGCGACACTGTCTTGCCACCGGATTCGTGTGGGTGAAGGGGACGGGAGTGAGGCAGATGCTGAGCAAGCCTACTATCGCCGGAAACTAGCTCACGCGCAAGTCACCGTCCTGTGCCCATGGGGCACACGGTGGACATCGTCGTTCGCGACGGCCATTTCACGCGCGCTGGCGAGTTATCCATCCGTGACGTCATCTCTTCGACATTGTGCCGTAATTGTAAGCCCAGTAGTGGTGTTTACTCTATTTACTTGATGGTGGTGAACCAGGTGCGGAAAAGGCACTCTATCCAGCAGTCTTAAGTGCTTGTGGAGGAGGGAGAGGGGCGTCAGGTAGATAACGATTTGCAAGAGGAATTTGCGTTTGTTGGTGAACGTGGGTCTGAGGGGTTCGCGACCTCCCTTGCCCTTGGAGCAGTTAACCCAACACTGGCGACCGCCAACAAAGGCTCAGGAAAAGCTCAGCAATTGGCTCGTAAAAGTTAAGTTGGCATGCTGGTGGGACTTGAAAAATTTGGAGGTGCATCAAAAAAGTCGGAATGTGTCGACTTCGTGGACACCACTTCGGATCTCTTTGAGGGATCTACATTCCGTCCACTGAAATGAAATACTTTTTGACGGGCGCTGCGGAGTAACAAGATATGTCTACAAGTCAGGATGGAAGTTATCGTCACTGGAGCCAAAAAACTCCAAAGATACCAGTGCTGGGCGGTGACGATGAACCCAAGACATTTCGACTCTAAGGCAGAAGATGGTCAGACATGAGGTTCAGGGACGAATCATCGTTTGGGATGAAAAGTACCTCTAAATATAAGGGTCCATTGTTTTAGACGTAATGCGCACAGAGAATATCAAGTCACGGAATAAAAAAGAGATGGTGATCGCGATCTGAACATAGGTGATTTCAGGGCCCATAAAGATGGTCCTCATTTCTTGTCGGAGGGCAGAGCACCACTTATGCAATGGAAGAGGCACGCTTAGCCTGCCGTTTAAAAATCCAAAATCACCTATATCGGAACTGTAGTTCCCGCAGACAGTTTCCAATATTGTGTAATTATTTACCATACTGACAACACAGGCATTAGCCAAAAGACCAGACACGCGTGTTTCGCTGATCTGGTGCCGCTGTCTGACGCAGCTGCGAGGGGTTCGTCTTATCAGTGGGTCCCTCAGCCTGCCCCGTGTGTTTTCTGGTTATATGAACTCCAGTTTCACCCAGACTTGTTTAATTTCCGAGGAAATTAATACGTGAACTTGGAGTAAATTATTCGAAACAGACCACTGGGGGACCAAATAATGAGCCGAACCTCTAGCAGCTACTTCAGGTAGCGGCACAGGATCGCCGAAACACGCGTGTTTGGGCTTTTAGCTAATACCTGTGTTGTTAGTACGGTAAATTATTGCACAATTCTCTACTACTGGCAGCCAGTCGGTGGTTCGTGAATATTACACGGTTATTTTGCAACAACCGACGGATTTCAGCTCAAATATACATATTAACTTTCGGACCGTACCTAAAAAAGTCTGTTCGAAAGCACTTACCCCAATTCGAGCATTCATTTTCTCGGAAATTAAACAAGACAAAGTTTTTAACATTTTAAATAAACTCCGGTAAATTGCACTTATCGGTAACTGAACACGGAACCAAAAGTCGGCGATTTCTGACAAAAGCAAACGTAGGGAAGTTAAAACAGCTTCGAGAGAACAAAGATATCTTGGCAGATAGACCGGATAAAGGGATGGGCATCGTTTTAATGAACTGACCGGACTGTGTGACGAGAACGAAGTTCACCTTGTCAGACCAGGAGAAATACACAAAAGTGAACAAAGAAAGGGATTGAACGGATGAAGGAGAGGCACAACTAACCGACTGCTTAAGAAGACTCCATTGCAGTTTTTTTAATTTCCTCAGAAATCGATAGCTAACTTGGAGTAAATCAGTTGATGTGAGACCTACAGAACCAATTTTGGATATGAATAGTTGGACTGAAGTTCACCAATCACTGCGGGGTAACCGCCCAACATTCATAAACTGCCAACAGGCAGCCAGTCCAAATATTCATATAAAAATTTACTCAGAGCCTGCACGTCACAATGAGACTGATTTACTCAAAGTTAGTGATCAATTTCTAAGAAAATTAAAAGCTGCAATTTCAGAACTGGAATACCTACCAGAGAGCATGCAGGGGACGCCGAAGGACCCTCGCAGCTGTGCCATACAGCAGCAGAATATCGGCGAAAGGCGTGTCTGGGCTTTTAGCCAGTAAATATGCCGTCAAGTATGGTATATCGTGCTATCTCAGTACAAACTACTAGCTGCCTATTGGCAGCTTGTGAATGTCACGCGGTTATTCCGCAGTGGCTGATGGACTTCGATCCAAATATTCACATTAAGATGGATTCTAGGCCTGTAAGTCTCAAAGGGACTGATTTACTCAAAGTTGGCGATAAGTTTCTGAAGAAATTTAAAAAGCTGCAGTTTCGAAACGGGCGTATTTACCAGAAAGTACACAGGGGACGCCGGGGGATCCACTGATGAGCCGAAATCCTCGTAGCTATGCTATACAGTAGCAGAATATCGGCGAAACCCATGTCTGCCGTCGAGTGTGGTACACATCGTGCTATCTCAATGCATCCATCACACCTGCGAATACCCATCTGCCAATCGGCAGCAAATAGGAATGCCGACGAACGCACTCAGGGAACTATTACTCGTATGAACACTAAATGTCCGATGCTCTTTTGATAACCAACCGTACAAACAAATAGACGGCGTTGCTGTGGGATTGCGTCTTGGCTCTCTCCCGAAAGACGTCTTCATTGGCAAGCTGGATAAAATTGCAACTACACGACCAGTTAAGTAGACTAAGAGGCTGCGGTCGTAACTCTGATGACATCTTCGCAATCACCACTGAAGAAACCAACCTCGATGCCCGCTTATATGCCGTAAGGCATGCACGTCCGCCGATAAAGTTGGAGGAGGCGACGGCTAGTTAGTTCCCTTTGTCAGAAGCCCTCCTAAGCAGAAGGCCTAACAGCAGCGTGCGAAGGAGCGCCGATCGAAAGAAAACTTGGTCTGTGCCATATACTAACTTCTCCAGTTTCGTACGCCGTCAAGAGACACGCAGGCTGGTCCATTGTCCGGCAGAAAGGACTAGAAAAATCCGTTTAGCGAACAGCATCGACGAGGAACTCAGAAAGATCCAGGACCCGCCGCTTCGCGAGAACGGGTATCCAGACAGATTTATTGCTAAGTACACTATCGAGAGACTACCAAAATGCATCACACTAACTGCAGGAAAGAAACTCCTGTTCCTCAAAGTCCCCCTTCAAGGGGATGCAGTGAGTGAGCTCCCAAGAAGACACCTTGACAAAGCTGTCTGACGAACCTTACCAGGAGGAAGCGCCCGGGTATTATTACCTACCAACCCCATCTTACACGGCGAGGTTAAGGGGAGGTTGCCATCTCAGACCACCTTAATGTGTATTTACTCCCTCAATTGCCCCCTGTGGAGCAGGTTATATTGCTCGCATGAGCCTGCCCCTATCCAAAACAATAAGAAGACACCTTCCCCCCCCCTCACATGACTGGGAAAAGGCTAAACTAGGTGCATAAACAGCATTATTCTCGCAACAAAAGAAGAGGCTGCCGTTAGGTTACGCAATCAAGTCTTGCGTGCACAGAAGGACCTCGTACAAGCTCCGCGTTTACCGTAATCAAAGGTCCGTTAACTGTGCATGTGCTTGTTCGCGCCCTCCTTCCGCTGGAATAGTTCTGCCTCTCACTACGTACGAAATCCGTACCTCTTCTTAGCCCTCCCCCATGCTCACACACCCCAGTAATTTGTTACGAAGAACTTTAATTGACTACTGTCATGACTCAGATGTCTTACTTGCACCCCGTTCCCACATACACCACACTGGCCCGGCGAGGATTTATCGAAAGCACACATATGCTCGTCAAACGGTCTTATGAATCCTCCTATTGGAATTATCGTGACCATCTGATTCATCAGATGATCAGGGGGAAATAAAGAAACCCCTCCCCCAAAAGAAAAGCCTTTTTGTTGTCACAAATCCGCCGTTAAAGGTGAAGAGTCGTATCTTAAACAACAGCCTAATGCCTTGAATTGGTGATTTTTTTCATAATAAGCCATTCCTAACATAGTTGTGCAGTCAACTAAACATAAATTAATGCGAAGTGAAAATGAACTTAAAATCTCAAATCTATCTTCACTCCCTCCCCTAACCTCGACAGTTAATGTCTGAAATGCAGGAGTGTTTTGCAGCAAGCAAGGATAGGCAACAATAGCCTGTGGACCGTGTCATACGTTGAGTGGTGGTAGAGGAAGTTTTACGGGTGGCGCAACACAGGACAGAGAGAGCAAGGAGACGCAGAAAATAAATAAATTTCTGCCGAAGGTCCTATCGCACGCTGCCATTCGGGAATGAAAGTGAGCGCGATAATAGAAAAATAAACAAAATACAACTTTCAAAAAATGCCGGACATTAAATAAAACGCCGCTGGTAACATTTAGTCAGGAAGGCGGGGGAATTTCAATTAATGGGAGTGGTGAATAATAAGTGATGTTTACAGTCACAGTGAATCTTAGGATATATCTTCGGAGTTGCCATCTACTTGGGAGTCCTACACCCTGTCGTTACCCCAGGATCTTTTAGTTATGATTCTACCAATAAGGCGATGAACACAGTGTAAACGACAGTAAGCAACGATAGGAAGCTTCTCACCGCTCGGGTAATGCACGTCCCCACAAAGTTCTTCTTGGGTAAGATGCACAACCGGTTAGCTAATGGCAGCGCACTCAACAAGACCGCAGGATGGGCCATGCAACAGCTTCTGGACCTCCTTGCACTTGAATACATTTTGTTGGACTGGCCAACGACAAAAACAAAGTAGCGAACATGAAGCAATCGGCACCACCTGTGGATTGCACTAAACACTCTGTCCCACTGCCGTGGGTACACTTTCTAACTCGACACTACGCCAACTCGACAGATATGGTGAACCGCTGTAAAAATGACGCTGCAGTCGTCGAAGGCAGCAGAATACAAAAAGGTGGCAAGAAGGCACGACTGGAATATTGGGAAACAGAGTTGCCACAGCACAACCATCCCAGCCCTGTCTGTCCAAACGGTCAGTTCATATTTAGAACCCATACTGCTCTTATCAGACCGCAATAGCGTGGACAATATGCCACGAAACACTGCTCACGAGATTTCCGTGGAAGGCTACGTGACCTCAGACCATAGAACGAGCCAGTGGGTAGATGGAGGCCTTCCAGAGACCATTGTTGAGTCTATTGATGCGTACAATAGGTGGGCTAATTCATGACATGTCAACCAAAATTCTGAAATGCGTTTTCGTTTCGAAAACATTAATTAAGTAGGGTTGTAAAACTGATCATTATGCAGCATAATTATATCACGATCCAGTTACTGCAGGGTGCCGGCTTTCAAATGAACTTATTTCCGGCTGCATGCAAGTACTATACTCTGCAAAAAATGACTACTTATGTAGCCTGCAATTTTATCGTCGATTTTAGATGCCCTTGAAAATGTGATTATACTTCATAGAAAATATGCATAAAATATTGATTCTTTTAAGTATTCGGTAGAAAATCACGTCTTCTTCCAATTTTATACTTTAAAGAACAGTATAATTCGGTTTTAAAAAACTTTTCAAATTCACGAAACATTTTGAACCCGACCTGTTACAATACTTGCATTCAGGGATTCAAAACTACAAGTCGTATATTTTCCGTGTACGAAAAACCATACATTTCTCTACGGTATTAAGAGGAGACCATATGGGGTTTACAAACTTAAGCAGTGGATTTGAGGAATATTCTCAACTTTATAAGCCACATTGGGAAGTGCAGATACATGACGTTTTATGAACGGCCATTTCACGGTACTAAAAAATCTCACAATTAGAAACTTTTAAAACCGAATTATACTCCTTCTTCGAGTATAAAATGGAACGAAGACGTAAGTTTCTACCGAATGAGCAAAAGAATGGATATTTTATGTGTTTTTTTCGTGAAAAATAATTGAATTTTCAAGGGCATCGAAAATCAATGAGAAAGTTCCATGCTACTTAAGTTGTCATTTTTTGCAGAGTATAGTTTTGCATTCAGCAGGAAGGAAGTTGGTTCGAAAGCCTACGCCCTGAGGTAACTGGATTATTATAGAATTACGCAGCATAATGATTAGTTTTACCACTCAACTTAATTAATCTTTTCGAAACGAGAACGCATTTTGAAATTTCGGTTGACGTTTCATGAGTTAGTCCACTTACTGTATTCACCCAAATAAATTGTTAAAATGGGAGGTCCAGACAGAGACTGACATGGAGAGAGCGCTGTTGCTGGAACAGGAGCTTGAATCCAAAACAGCGGGGACCGTGGGCGCAGTGGAGACTTGCAGGCAAACTTAATTACGGTGCAGTGGACTTGCGCGGCTCCGAGCTCCCTCTCTTTTCCCACACTTGCCGTGTTCCAGCGTCAAAACAAAGTTCAGACAGTCAACAAAGCCAGTTTGGTAAAAACATTTCGTTAATTTCGGTGAGAACGTTAGCACACAGACACTCGAGAACCTGGAGTAAGGTCACGCCGCAGGCGTAGTAACAGTCTGGTCAGTTTAAGTACCAACTGATCCGATCAAAGTCTCCTGACGTGTTCCAATATTCGCGGATCAGCAAACAGTGGTCGCAAACGTGTACGCAATGCCATCTCTCGTTTTGGCGCAAACTTTTGATACAATTTGTCTGTCAGGAGCTATTCAAAATCAATGTATCTGCAGTAGGAAATGTTGTATTATTGAGGCCGGCAGCATATTGCTGTTGTTTATGAATTCCGTGCCAGAGCTAACTTTCTCGTGACAACAAGAAAAGATTAGAAGAGCCCCATCTGATGTTGATTTGAAACAAGAAGAGATTGAATCCATTAACAAATAATACTGACGGCGACCTCGAACGGCTAGGGCAGATGCCGGTAGAACGAATGGCGTGTCAATTCCACTTTGCCAAGGTTTGTATTGCCAACAGCCCAGTTAGTCATCACACAAAATATGCTGCACACGAGAGGACGGTCGAGTCGCGTTGGCGATAACGTCTGCATTGAATATTTTTTGAGAAAGTCTGCTTAGCCACGTTTTATTGCGCCAAAATCCGATTAAATTTGCTTTTTTTTCAGAACATAACGCTTGGCAAACATTCGTCAGTAGAACGTTGTGAGTCGCTGTCGAGACACTTAATGTAACTCCTTCTTACCAGCACACATTCCACAAAACGACCCTGACTGACATTCGGTTGAGTAAGGACTTTCGAATTTTCTTGCTACATTAACGGCAAATTGTCAAATTGCCTTGGAAATGCAATTTTCCATCGAAAAGAATATCGGATTACGCCCACTGGTTAAGGCGTCGTAACTGAAGACTTTGGCACCATATCAATGCGTCAAAGTTATCACTAGAAAGTACGAGTTTTATGCCAGACCATAAAATTCGGAATGTTTTTGGTCATGCGGAACCTGCGCGGTAGGCCTACCGGAAGAACATTAGAACTTGAGAAAGCAGATCATCAAAATTGCTCAGATATAGAAACAGGTCAAGCTGATAGTCTTCTCTGCTAAGCTAAATATGTTTGATAAACGTCCAGGATCTCCGAAATAAGGAAATCGGCATACTGGATGTTCATGCGATACAGGAAACCGCACGTTTAGATAAAACGAACGAACAGAAGACTCTATCCTTAGACCCCTGCGACTGCAAGGGTGCGTTTAGCACACAAAATATGCTTTTCTTTAACCCGCTGGAACCACACGTCCACGAGGCCTTCAAGCAGGAGGCAAACAAAGAAAGTGAGAAGTGGACCCCTAAAAACGCGGCCCACGAATAATCCGTAAAGTGGATACGACGCCAGTTAAACCGTCATAACTTGAGGACGTCCATCCTTGCCCCGATGATAAAACGATGCCAGGATGACGGGGGTGGGCTGGCTGACAAAGTTGAACGGCTCGCCTACACGCGTTACATACGGCTTGGTCATGTATCAGGTTGGCGTAAGATCGGATGGCATCTAACGTGAGTGCAATGCCTCAAAAACTACGTTAATAGGGAGCAATTGCAGTCTCACTGTCAGTTCTACGAAGGACCGAATTATCCCGACCGTCGACAGCCTTCAAACCAACGACTCTTAGTGCGCAGTGATCGATTCGAGTGCGTTAGATTTACTATAGTGAAGAATGCGGTCATGTGTTGTGAGGATAGAATTCTCAGTTTCTATCCCACTATCACTTCCCTCTCACATACACCAGTCGATTTTCCTATCCGACCGACCGGTTGGTGATGTGATTGAAAGCAGCGACTGGAGTGGGGTAAAGGCCAGACGCGTGTACGGCAGATCCAGCGCAGGCCGAGAAACACGCGGCCTGAGCCAGGCTGACCCCATTTTTGTCGTCATATTGATGAAAAGGTATCATTCTAGGAGGGTGGTCTTCAATGACCCGTTGAGTGATTTCATGCATGGAAGATGGTCACCATACCATCGAGGCTAAACGGATAACGCACATTCTCTCACACGTTCTAGTGCGGACCCGTTTTCGTCTTGTCCTTGCAATCAATACTGGCAACAGTTGCCATGCATATATCCTTTATTGTCGAGGTTATTTCTAGCAGGTCTCCAAAACATCTTAAACACGTGGAGTTGCACTGAAAGACAAATATTCAAATTATAAGAAATATGACTTCCCAAATGTACTGACCGCTGTTGGACTTAGAAGGGGGCCAATTGTATAAGCACAGTTGACTATCATCAAAGGAAACATAATCGATGAAAATAGTTGAATGGACGACCAACACTCGGTCGTGGGGTACACAGAAAACCCAACGAGCTTTGGCATTGGAGTCGAATGAAAAACTAACTGGGAAAATTTTGCAGCAACGTAAACATTCGAAATAAAGTGTCCAATCTGAATCAACTGAGCCCAGACCGAAGCGATATCCGATTAGTTGATTTGGTCAGAGCTCATGCAAAAAGATGCTACGTCCACACTTGCAAATATAGGAAGGACAGACAAAACATAATTGTTTTCTGAAACGCCTAAGTACCTAGGTAGAGGTCTCCACAGGATAGTTTTCGAAACGAAAAACTTGACAACTTAGCCACCAAAAGTCGATTGAACATCTGCTGCACTTAGATGACAAGAACCTTCCAGGAGTGAATAATGTGAATCCCTGCCTCATTCTTGGCAGCCCCAAATGCGGTTTGTTGAGCGTCAGTCTTATAGCAACTAATTGTGAAGGCTTATCGGTTCTCTCTCCATATGGTTCATCTGCTGCGTATGAGATTTGAGCCTGGGGCTATAATGCTGCGCCACGCGTCGTGGCATGGAAGGCCGCCGACTGACGCTTCAACTCAGTCCACGTTGTCAGATGAGTTGTGTATGGCGAACTGATGACCTGAGGGTCAGGTTGCAACGGCTCTTTCTCAATGTGACTTCTGGCATCCTCACGCATGTGAGGTGTGCGTGTATATGGGTAATGCCTCTCAGTCGACAACCGACTGGTTACCCGGCCTTTGAAAGGTGGCAGCCTAGGCAAATAAAGGGCTGTGTGCCAAACGTCTGGGTCTCAGGGATTGTAAGCGTATGCTATGCCGGGATCAGCAAGCCATGGCCCTCGTAGTCCGGTGTGCGCCGGCGGTTCCCCTGCACCTGATTCGCTGCCGGCAGATGCGCTTGCGTTCCCGCTGAGTATACAAGTCATGACCATGGCTGCCCAGTCATCCTCGTCGTCTTTCTGTCCCGTTGTGGTGCTGTTGTTGTCGGTAAAAACCCTGGTCAAGTGTTTCTTGTGGACCACGGTCTGTGGAGTTTTGCGCATAGGTGCGGGTCCGGCCACGCCAGCCACCTGTGCCCTCCCCCACCTCGGTCTTCCTTACTATACTTTGGCACCGGGCTCAGGCGGGGAGGAGAGAGTCAGGTAGGTGTTGCACAAGTCTACTCCCAGTACAATTAATTCACGCGCAAGTCCCCTTGCTCGCATCTTCTTGGTGTGAAACACACGGTGGACATCATCCGGCACGAAGGTCGAACTGCCGGAATGAAAATAGCAAACTGTAACCCATAATTACTGATCAAACCTAGTAAACATTTCAGTGGGTAGAATGCTATTACCGACAAAGACAAGGGAGACTGGAATGGCCATTTCTGGCTTCATCAAACGAAACATAATCGACGAAAATAGTTGAACGGACGACCAACACTCGATCGTGGGGTACACACGACGTCCACACTTGTGGCTAATAAGCCAGAAATGGCCATTCCAGTCTCCCTTGTCTTTGTCGGTAATAGCATTCTGCCTATATATCATGCGCCGCTGTGCGGCTGCTGGTTGGGCTCGAGAGAGAGCCCTTAAGGCACAATGGAACGAGTGAGTTCCGTATGAACGATCGGTGAGCGCCCCCTAACATTTCAGTGGGTGTCTGCGAGCCGACGCCCACGCGACCATATCAAAGTGGGACGTAAAATAATCATATTTGACGGTCTACTCCACTTTTTTGGATGGGCAGAAATTGTTAAGCCTCCGTCAACATGGTTTCAATAAGAAAGGATTGCGTCTTAGAAGTGTCCTCGCAATTCCCGAACAGGGATATTCAGTAAGGTATGACGGGGGGCTGTATTTTGAGGCCTCACAGCGACCCATAAATTCATGTAAAACTCTGTGGGTATAATATGGCCGAAAACTCAATCGACTAGATTTGAGTTTTTTTAATCATTGAACTATCGACATTCGCATGAATGGAGCTACACCAACCAAGCTTCCAGTGAAGGGTTTTGCTCGCATGATTCTGCACAAGTTTATTGCTTTTTCTTATCGGCATGAATGACAAGTCAGAGACGGTTGATTAATATTTACAGGTAACAAAAATATCTTAGGTCACACATGAGATCATGAATCCACCTAGAAAGATTTTGCTGAATTTTTCGGATGAGATCTCCGGATGAATACGCAGAACTCCTAGCTCCTTGCAGTATGCCAGCTTTTGACTTATAAATGCGTATTCTAACAAGGACGGGCGAAGTCATCATCCGATCTGAAGTGTTGTCTCTGCTTTACGACTTTGAAATGATGCCCCGTGGCCGCTGCCGAAGTCTGTAACTCATTGGTAGGTGCTCCCAACATGTCGCCAAACAAAACTTTCTTATGCCATACTTTGCGCCTGGCTGGTCATGGCTCAAATTCAAATCACAAGCATGGTGTACATACCTCTTACATGATATTGAATCTTTCAAAAGGTTTCTGAGTCAGGCAACTAAGCTGCTTCGTACCTTAGATTAATGAAGTCTAAAGAAAGATTGAATGAGCCTCAGCCCCGCAGATTAGCGCAGAGACAACAGCACAAAAGTATATTCAATTACATGCATGATGTGAAAATTTTTCAGAGCAGTCAAATGCACAATCTTCCTGAGCACCTTCAAAGGCTGTTCAAGTCAAGAGTGAGCATGTGTGTTCGACAAATAAGTATGTTTGTAGCGGATATCAGACAACTAGAACTGGGCATAGGGAGAAGTCCTTCTAAAGGTACATGCAAATTACTTAAGAAGTGCAGCGATTCGTTATGGGGGTCGAAGAGACGCACCAAGGTATGTGGTAGTATGAAATTAGATAATGCCCAACCTGTGGGCCAACTTTTTCTGTCGTCGCTCTCCGACGTACAGTCTGTTATCGCTTTCCCCAAGTACTGGCAGTTTTATCCGCTGTTCACTCCCATTTCTCTACCCTTTGCATTTTCCTGCGTCTGAAGAGTTAACAACACAGTCGTACTAGTTGTGGCTGTTGTGCTCCTCTGAATACTATCCACGCGGTCCCCACCTCGATCCACTTTTTAGACTCGTACTGAAGACTGTTGTGTTTATTATGCGTTCCACACGCTAAAAACCCTAAAAGAAGGGTAAGGCACCCATGAACCTTCGATTTCTGGGGGTACCCTGAATATTTACCTCAGAATAAATGGCAAAATGTGGTTTACACTAATAAATAAATAGCTTTCAGCAGAAAGAGGGTTGTCGGAAACCGTCCATAACAATTCTTAAATGGTCTTTCTGCTTATAGGCAGAAAATTTAGGTGTCACCCAACTTATTGGAAAATTTCTAGCGTCCCGACCATCAAATTAACATCGTGCACATTGTCAAATGAGCGGTGATTTCAATGAGTGCACATCTAGCTTCGTTTAGTAACTGAGCGCAAAATTGAGGGGGAGAGTATTGTAAAACGTACATCAGCAGGCTCAATTATGGCCACATCGCAGGATGGCATTAAGCGCTTGAGTTTACTGGCCACAGCACATCCGCCACACCCTCCACCAGCGATAAGGACGCGATGATGGATTTTCTGCGCAGATGACATGCGACACACCACCGTCCTTAGGGTTGGTGCAGAAGACAGGAGCACTAGCGTCTTGCAGAAAGGCATGGCGGCAAAGGACCTGGGAAAAGAGTGCGTATACAGGTAGTCAAAATTTCTCCTGCGATGAAGGCGCAACATAAGGCTTCTTTTAAAAGGCTGTGAAAACGATTATTTTTACTAACGGAAATAATAATTGTCATCAACTGCTACTTGATGACAGAACCCGCCATTTAAACATGATAATATTATGCCTGGTCGATACTGTTTTTGCACGCCGGTTGTCTGAACACGAGCTGAAAAGACAGTCTCCAAAATTTACATAATTATGTTTACTGATTCCCAAAGAATTCTATCTTCCTAATTATATCTCTTCAGATTTCTGGTTTTCAATATTACTCCTATATATTGGGGTCGAAAAAGTCTCTGTTGGTGTTGAGACGCGTTAGGAATGTAACAAAACTAAAAAAAATCAGCGAAACCATTTAGAGGACTGACATGTCAGTCAAGTGCGCGAAAAAGGAAAGTTCGAACCCACCGCCGCTGTGACCTTGTCCTAAAGTTAGCAAATATAAAGTAATTTTGTCAATCGAATCTAGTTAGTGAAAACGTTGATCCATGTGCGTGGCATTGGCGAGTTTAACGCACCGCAAGTTCAACAGAGTTGTTTTAACGGACAGAGGCCACTTTTGACGCAAATCCCAGATGGGTTCGGTGCGATCGTCTACCGGTTAAGAGGGCCGGTGTCCCTCACATTCATACAACCGACACCGCTTCCCTCGCTCTCGCCGTCCGTTCGTATCTCGTTTTCTTCATCGCCAACAAACTCCTAGGGCTTTACCGCTAGTTGCCGACATCACTGCAATCCCCACTAGCATCTAACTGATATGACGTGTCCACCTGCCATTCCAAATGGGTCACTTGTACAGTAACCCGCTATTTCTTTGTATTAATTATTTTCCACCTTTCCTACTCTATGCATTTGTCATCGTTACATACATTTCATTTACTAAAAAGCCCTGTTCGTGATGTATCCCTTTGCTATCTGATATGGTGTTTACAAATTGTTCCAATGTTACATAGAAGGGAAACTACCCCAGGTGGCCGCTACACGATCACCGATCAGTCCTACTTAAACAACAGGAATGGCCACTTCAGCTTTGTCTGAGGTCGTAATGTAACCATCAAAAATAACCGGTAAGACAAACTTGTTTTAATTAGTGTAATGAATTTTCTGTAGAAAATGCGGGATTTAATGAAACGTTTAGGTCCGACCGAAACCTCTGACTCGTCCACTCGATAAGTCCCGTCGGAGTTTCGTTCTGTCTTTGTTTTGCTGTAAATATGTCTTGTTCTCATTTATTACGTTCAGACTCCCATGGCCAGCCATGTTACCCATGTGGGTACATACCTCCTTGCGGTAAACTCCCCTTTTAGTTTAATTTAATTTAATTTATTAAATGCCAGTTTACAGGCATTGTCAGTCAGTCAGTCAGTGTATTTGAAGGAAATAGGCTTACGCCTTTGAACTCCCTACTTGTACATAAAAATCGATAAACAAGCAAAAATGTGAAGAAATTACAGCATTAAGCGAATGCATACATTGATTCACATGTCACTAGCCACATGGTTAAAAAGTCACATAGTCCGCTTGTTGCTGCAGCATATATCTGTCAAGGCGACGTTTAAATGTCTCAACAGATTGAGACATAACAACCGTCGCGGGCAGGTTATTCCACGGTTCCACGACACGGTTGGAGAAGAAATATTTTCTCACATTCAGTCTACCCTGTGGCACACGTAGCTTGAAGGGATGTCCCCGGAGGTGAGTTGTGGTGGCGAGTTGGAAAGGGGAGCGATTAAACACAAATCCGACCAGCAGTGGAAAAAGACTCCTGAAGAATAAAAATATTGTTGATGGTGTTTCTTATGGTTTGGAGGGTTCATGAGAAAAAAAACTGCTGGCGGCATACATTCGACGGTCAAGAAGGGTGGGGCGGGTTACACGGTATCGGAGATTATCTGACTTCAATTCCTTTCATGAAGTTGGGGATAGTCAAAGTAGAGGCGTTGAGGAACAGCTGGTGAGACCGGCCATAGTGTTCAGAGACCGCAAACGCCAACGCTACGGTACAGTCGATCAGTAGATTTAGCACCCAAAATTGGAAGAACCTTTTCTAAATGCAAAAATCGAGTAATAGTTCTCTTAAATAAAGGATAATTTTGCAGAGTTTTCACACGCATTGGCAGTTTATTCGAAATAGCAATCGCATTTACAAAATAGAACCGACGATATTTAACAGTACGTGCCAGAGGCAGAAATAAGAAGACCTCACGGTGACTTTTACGTCGTGGGTGGATATGATGTCTTAAAGAATTGAGTGGGTTAAATGTGTGATTATATAAGAGTTTAAATAGCATAAAATAGTCCCTTTTGTAATTCAATTTAATTTAATTTATTAAATGCCAGTTTACGGGCATTGTCAAGGGAAGCGATTAAACACAAATCCGACCAGCAGTAAAAAAAACTCCTGAAGAATAAAAATATTGTTGATGATGTTTTTTATGGTTTGAAGGGTTCAGGAGAAAAAAACTGCTGGCGGCATACATTCGACCGTCAAGATGTGGGTGGGAGGGTTTTGCACGGTATCGGAGATCATCGGCCGTCAATTCCTTTCATGAAGTTGGGGATGGTCAAGTTAGAGGCGTTGAGGAACAGCTGGTGAGACCGGCCATAGTGTTCAGAGACCACAAACGCTATCGCTACGGTAGAGTCGATCAGTGGATTCAGAACCCAAAATTTGAGGAAGCTTTTCTGAATGCAAAAATCGAGTAATAGTTCTCTTAAATAAAGGATAATTTTGCAGAGTTTTCGCACTCATGGGTAGTTTATTCCAAATAGCTATCTACGGAACAATAAAGGATCAAGGCCCGTAAGCCGATAACGTTCTTGGTAAGACAAATGTCGGTGTTCTGGGGTTAAAATTCTCTTGTTAAAAAAGTATTGAACGGATTCCATTTTCTTCCGCTCAGTAGCACGCATGAGGCTAAATAAAAACGAACAGTATTCCAGACCAGGTCTAACGTACATGTTGTAAAGGCGCATTCTGATGTCCCTAGTTTTGTAAGCTCATGCAGAATAACTCCACAAAATCTCCTCTATATTTTACTTAATTTGCGAATTCTAGTGTAATAAATCTTTTGGATGTTATACCTACTACATCCCCACTGAGTAAAATGTCGGATTTAGATTGCGGTGCTGAAAAATGAATATCAGAGTAACGTTTAGATTCCGAACAAAAGGAGACTGTCTACGCTCACGAGCAATTCTCCGACTCCACTCAAGCCTCTTGCGTTGGAATTTACAGTGGGCATTCAAGTCGCACCATTGGTAACTTCGCTATTAACCTCAAACGCACAAATCTTGTCGACAAAGACGAAGGAAGTTGACTGTTATGTCTGGCTTGTTTGCTGTCACCAGACAGAAATGCCCTAAATGCCAGCATCCGCTAGGGGTTTGAATTAAGGTCATCTGGCCATCCAAAGGCACCATTTCATTATGAGATCTCAGGCAAAGCTAAAGTGGTCGTCGCATTCCTCAGGCAAGGATAAGTAGGTGCACGATACTTCCATGTTGTCAGATACGAACGGTTTAGGCCGACATGATGAGAGTCTGCAGTGCACTGGCGGAGGCGCTGTTCGTGATAAAATACCCACTGTGAAAGATTCAGGTTTGCAGTCTAAATTTAGGTCATTATCAAATGACGACGGCAATCAAACCAGAAAGGTTCCATTCAATGGTACTGTGTTCGCCAGTACTACTCCTCAAGTCAGCGATTTTTCGAAAAGCCCAGTACCTCCTTGTACATGTATATTTACAGGGCTACCCTTTTATTCTATTACCTTGTTATTATAGTTGGTCTGCATACTTACAGTTAGTATAAAATTTTGAAACATCAAGAAGTATGCTCGAGCCAAAATATAATACAGTCAAAGAAGGATTACTGCTGTTCAACACAGATTTTTTAAAGAAATTTCAATTCACTTCATTATATATGAGGGCAAGAGGCTTTTTGTATTTGTCCTCGAGGGGTTCCCCTATTTATGCAAAATGATGTCGCATATTCACACGAAAAATGAAGTTTCGAGCATGTAAAATGTGTTCTGTCACAATATAACCCTAAAAATATGAAGCGCCATCGTTCAATGTAAGTCAGTGCGGAAAGTTTGTGCATGAAAAAGTGCTTTACAAAGCTGGCTGTAAGTACTCATGTTGTAAAAGAGGTTTTGTGGAAAATTACGTAAGCAAGTTTTCTTTAACGTGCGGATTGTGTCAGCTGTCACCATCTCACTTAGTAGCGAGTAACATGGTCGGAGAACCCCCTGGCTAAGGGAGAACTTCCTACAGTCCAGCCGCGCACGTCCGCTTTTGACTTTATAAGGATGACCGGGAAATCAGTTTGCATGGGCAAACTCAAATATGTCCTCCGTTCTCAGTGAACAACCTTGGTCGCAGACGATCTGGTATTTCCAGAGAAGACTGCAGATTAGTTACCTTTAGGATATAGGACATAAACCAAACACACTCAGACGCTTCGTGTACGACAAATGCTTTAGACTTTTGAACATATTAGTTGCTCTGTGTTGCACTTGATCGAGTAGGTCAATATCTTCTTCATGCATGGTGGGGCTGCTGGCATTCCACATTCCAGGTTAGGTCTTACAAAGACACCGAAAAGTATTGCACAGAGTTTCAGCGGAAAGACTTTGAATGCCTGTCTGATCCAGTATAAGGAGCTATTTGCCCTTTGGACCATCTTTTTGCACTGTTCTGATGGCATTAGATTTGTTTTCGTCCATTCACAAAAACATCTGCATCTTTCTACTCTTTCTAATGTCGTCCCGTTAGTAAATTACCGACGCTTGGGAGAGGCATTTCGGCCTGTGTTTGGGTGTAGAGCCACTCATTTGGGCACATTAAACTTAAAAAGGCATCTTTTCGATTAAATATTCAGTTTGCCGATCTATGACTGCAACTTCTTTACATCCTCATTGCACTTGTCGTCACTCCATACTTTTATGTCATACGGTTCTGCCAATTAACTCCCTATCTGTCACAAACAAATAGAAACAATTAACAAAAATGTGAGAAAATTATATCGTCAAGTGGGGGCATACCCGATTTCGCAGAAGTGCATTTGTTTTAAGGGTAATATAGCCACATACTGGCTTCCTGCTACAGCATATGTCTGTGAAGTTCAATGAGTCGAAAGCACCTGGTCCAGACGACATGCCACCTAAGTTACTGAAGGAGCTCGCTGCTGAACTAGCCAAACTATTGCCCATGCTCTTCCAAGCCTCATTCGAAGCTGTCTGTTTACCCGCGGACTGGAAATCTGCGAGGATCACACCGCTATATAAAACAGGCAGCAAGGCATCTGCAAACAATTACGGACCACTTTACCTCACCTCCATCTTCTGCAAACTCATGGAAAAAATAATCAAAAGACAGCTAACGCGCTTCCTAGAGCAAAACACTTTATTATCTGATGCGCAGCATGGGTTTCGTAGTTGCAGGTCTTGTGTGAGTAACTGACTCTTCTGTTTGAAACGTTGTTCTCTGTCAGTTTATGAAGGCAGTACGCTACATGTAGGCTATATCGACTTAAAAAAGATGTCCCACATCAACGACTCCTGTACTAACTGAGCCGAACAGGCGTTAGGAGTAACCTCTTATAATGGATTCAAAGCTTCCTATTTGACCGTTCTCAAGCTGTCCATGTCGGTGATCAGCAGTCGGCTGAGGTTGCGTTGAAAGCGGTGTTACCTAAGGCTCAGTTCTTGGTCCTTCTCTGCATATTATTTACAACAACAATTGTGCAAGTGGAGCGTTATTCGAACTGCCGACGACGAAGAGCATTTGCAGGCGAACCTAAACCGACTCCAACAGTGATCAAAGGACCGGCTTTTGTCGTTTAATGAGAACAATAACAACATTCTACGAGTCGGCAGAGCCCGCATTCCGCACGACATGGATTACTGCCTGAATGGTATACCACTGCAAGAAGTGGATTCGCAGGAGGACTTTGGAATACGGATTACGAAATCGCTGCACTGCACGAAGGCAGCCAATTCTGCAATGTCAGTTCTCTACCTGGTGAAGCGGGCCTTCTCTGCCTCTGATGAAGACTACTCCGCTAAATTCTTTCGAACGTTTGTGCGGTCGCAATTGGAATTTACTCTCCAAGCTTGGAGACCCTGGACCGCGAAGGACCTCAAGATCGTCGAAAGGGTTCAAAGGCGTGCAACGAAACTTGTGACAGGCCAGGGCTCATTACCATATGCAACGCGGTTAGCTAACCTTGATCGCTTTCTCTTGGGTTACAGGCAGTTACTGGGTGGCCTGATACCAACCTTCCGTATCATACGCGGTCAAGACTGCAGCCTCACACCGCGGGACATCTTCGAGTTAGCAACCACCACAAATCTACGAGGTCATCCATTCAAACTACGTGTGACCGGGGCCAGGCGGGACGCACGAAAGCTCTTCTTCTCTAATTGAGTGCTTGAAGCTTGGAACGCCCTGCCTACGGATGTCGTTAAGTCTGCTTCCGTTGAAGTCTTTAAGAGGTAGCTGGATTTGCATAGCAGTGCCCATTAAATTACCACCCGACCTCTATAACCTTGACAAGTTTACTTGTTACAACACTAATGGATATATTTCAGTATATACTCGGTATATTTCATTAGGCGATGAATTGGAGGCAATGCCTTCAATTCATCGCCTACGCTTAGTGGCATGAACCTATGCAACTTTTGCCGCTGAAATATTATTTATTTCCCTGCACTCGGAACGACCACTGTACTACTGCCCGTAACACTAACAGTCGAGACAGTTTGACTATCTGTACAGAGTCGACGCTTTTCCGATTATTTGTTCCCTTTATGATGCCTTTTACACTTTTTAAGATTTTCCAGTTGCTTGTAAACAAATAGAGAGTTCCAGGGTAAAGACCTACGAAGCCCTCAATAAAACTGAATTAAACTGTAAAAAACCAGGTGTAGGGAAAATCGGACGTCTTCTGGCGTCCAAATAATTTCCTACGTTAATAAATACCACAGATCAAAACCCATTATGTGTGCGCGTTATACTACAAGAGAGCATTAGTATAAACACAAAAAGTTGTAGCAAAACCCTTCTGGGAACGGAAGATTCAATTTTCTTCGAGGTATAGCATATGAAGGCAAATATCAGAAAACGCTCTTTTTTCAAGAAGCACTGGACGGAATCTGCCGTAGGATATTCTTGCAAATGTGTGGCATTTTGTAACATAAAACGTAATACCACACTTGTCTGACTGCTCTTTGCTCTTCTAAACCATTAACTATGAGGCGTGTGCCTGACGCAGCATATCTTCTCCCTTAAGTACATCAAGTGTGATGTTCGGATTCTCTAAACTCTCCTCGCAATTGCTAATCAGGGTTAGTTTTCCCTGCTCACTCAGAACACACGGCTAATGCTGCAAACACTCAAATCTGAACTTTGTATTACTATAAATGTGGGAATCATATGCACAATTCACAAAAGACCACAATTCCGGCGGACACTAAACAGTATTGCTACTTACATAATTTCCTTGTTACGCGATAACGCACAGCTGTTTGTTTCAACCAGTCTCCTGACTTACGTTTAACTACTCCTAAATATCTTTTCAATTTGTCCTGGCATGATTCCATTAAGCGGTATAAAAAAGCAAGGAGGCACTGAAAGACGCATTACCAGATCTTTGTCCATGTGTGGCGGTCAGCAAAGTTCATACATAGAACTGCACAAGAAACAGAGTCCCCATTAGACCAGGGGATTCCAAAATGACCTTCACATCTTATGCAAAGTCACATGCCATAAAACCCTACCGGTTCGCGAAACACTAAAAATAACGAGGATACCACGAGAATTCCCAAATTCGGTATTTCATAACGATCACACAGTTTTATTCCATAAGATACGCAACCATATATAATGCCTTCCCAAGTAATCTTCGGAAATTTGTGACTGGCAGGGGTTAAAATAAAAATGATGAATGCTCTTATAAATTGTGATAAAAAATATATATTTGAATATGAACGGATATTTCAACATATAATATGAACAGAAAAGATGTGATGACGCCAACCACAGGAACATCAAACCATAAACCTAAAAAAACAGCTAAGTGTACGCCGAATAGAAAAATTTCACAAATATATCGTAAACATACATAGCTCCCTCTTATTTTCTTCTGGTTTCTATAAATCGACTGAAAAATTTCCGCAACAAATACTAGCATACCTTCAATAAACCTACACAGATTAATAGATGTTTTGGCAGATTTCGAATTAATCACTTTGACCGAATTGTGAAAAAACTCGAGATCTCGTTGGGAATCAAAATCATAAGGGGCTTGAGTACAGCCAACGCTCTAACTACCCAAGCTATGAAGTCCACCGGAAACCGTGGACTCAGTTGCCTTTGGATCAAGCTACCCTACTGCCTACAGCCTATTGCAACACATGAAATCTGCCATATCTGGCAAAACAAGCTGACTACCCAACGGAGTTTTTTTGAACAGTCAATCTGGCATCCACCAGATGACTACCAGGCCCGCCTAACTAATAGGTGTGTTTGGCAGATTTCGCAGCTGGACAAATATAATTTGTTCAATATCTGCCAAACATTTGTTAATTAAGGGGGCCTGGTAGTCATATGGTGGATTCTAGACTGAGGAGCCGAACTCCTCGCAGCTGTCATACAGCAGCAAAAACACTGGCGAGACAGATGTCCGGGCTAATAGCGAGTACCTATGTCTAGAGTAAAGCACAACCAACTGTGAGACTTGGCGGTCTTAGCGTTTGCTAGCAGACTGGTCAGTTTATCTGGACCACACAGTCAGGATCGAATGACAGGCAGGCGATTAGTTTGGACTGAGGGGAGACTGTTAGATACAACAGTTCAAACTATATAGATTTATCCATGTCTTTATAATCACTTTAGCAGGTTGGACTTTCCTGCTACGTGCTAGCACTTTTATTTTCGATAACGTTTCTGAACTAATGTTCCTAAAAATAGTTATCAGAGTTGATGAGTGGAAGCATACTAAAGGGTTTTTGGAAGCGACGATATGGGTGTTAATAGTCAGTGGTCACTAATGTTTGCTTAAACGCAAACCTGCCCGTAACGAATAAGACCAGGACGCCAGGCAATAGTTCCCCTTCAAACTCAACATAGCCAACAGAACCTTAACATATTGTAGTCAAGAAGGAAAGTTAACCTACAGCACATAATATTTAAAGAAATGAGATCGAAGTGTTGTGGCGAAGCCTTACTTCCAGGTTGCTAAAAAATCCTCAGCTGAGTGTGCACAGCAATGAAGTTGTCGCTAATGGAGCAGCTGTCAGACCGGATGACTTCACTGATGAACTTGAGAAGGTCAAGGTCAAGACGCGCAGCTCAATTTCAAAGATAAGTGAAGCTCTGCATTTATCTGGATATTCTTAAGTAATTAATGCCTGTTTTTTACTTAAGTCCGTTTTAAA